TTCACTTAGAGCATAACACCAGGCGTGCTGTCATATGCGTTTTTCTCAGGAGTGGCTTCCATCTGGCCACTCTCCCATAAAGCCCTGATTGGGGAAGTGCTGCAGAGACTGTTGTCCGTCTGGCAGGTTCTCCCATCTCAGCCAAGGAACTCTGTAGTTCTGTCAGAGTGGTCATTGGGTTCTTGGTCACCTCCCTGACCAAGGTCCTTCTTGCCCGGTTGCTCAGTTTGGTCAGATGGAGTTCTTTTCAATTCCCCAATGATGGAGGCCACTGTGCTCTTGTAAACTTTCAACACTCTAAAAATAGTTTTATACTCTTCCCCAGATATATGCCTCATCACAATTCTATCTCGGAGATCTGCGGACAGTTCCTTAGACTTCATGGTATAGTTTCTGCTCTGACATGCACTGTCAACTGTGGGACATTATATAGACAAGTGTGTTTCTTTCTAAATCATGTCCAAACAATTGAATTGGCCACAGGTGGACTCCAATCAAGTTGTTGCATCATCTCAAGGATGATCAAAGGAAATTGGATGCACCTGAGCTCAATTTGGAATGTCATAGCAAAGGGGTGTGAATACTTACACTTCCAGTCAAAAGTTTGGACACACCTACTCATTCAAGGGTTTTTCTTTATTTGTACAATTATTTACATTGTAGAATAATAGTGACGACATCAAAACTATGAAATAACACACATGGAATCATGTAGTAACCAAAAAAACATCAAGCACTATGATGAAACTAGCTCTCAGACTAGTGCTACTCAATGCTTATGACGGCGATTCTGATTTAACCATCAATTAATATGTTAGGCCACTGGCCTGAGAAGATTGAAGTTCAATATGTAGCCTAGATGTAGCCTTTTTAGGCTCACATTAACAAGCTATTAATAAGAAATTACACTGGTCACTCAAAACAAGTATTTATAAAGTATAAATAGCCCACACTTTAGATGAGGCAATGCAAAAATACTTAACTAATGATAAGTAAATGGTTTATAAGGACCTACAGTATATTAAACATCTTATGAAGGGAGTAGCTTAATGATTCATAAATTATGAATAAACTATTTACTAATCCATTATAAATGCTTTATTACGTGGAGTTATTATAAAGTGCTACCAAAGGTTTTAATGTGTATAACTTTGTGTTTTCAATTGTATATTTGTGCCTAGTTGTGGGTAATTTTGTCTTTATGGTTTTAATAAAATATGGAGATGCATTGTGAAACAGCGGGACTGTGTCTCAGTGTTTTGGTGTGTTAATTATTACCAGTATTTCTAATTTGGTTCAGTCTGTATGATGACTCAGATGGCTTGTTCAATTCCATGAAAGACATTTCAATCAGTGAGTTCAAACAACTGATGTCAAACAACATTCCTTTACAGCTTAGTTTTTTGCCAGATGTAGGCCAGATGGCTTGACAGTCTACCTGGTTGGTACTAGTCTACCAAACGTGATCTAGTCTCCCTAGGCAGACTGGTTGCCTCCCACATTATCACATTAACTAAACATGATCTGGTTGCTTTTCATCGAGAGAGAACGTGGTGGTGTAGTTCTATCTTCTGACCACTAGAGAGCAGCATCTTACTTCTTTTTCACTAGAAAGTACTCCCTCCTAATGATGTCATACACACCATTTGATGACGAGAAGGATTTACCATACTCAGCAACATATTTTATATTAGGATGTGTATCAGTGACCAGGCATCACACTGTTTGGTGTCTTCTGTTGTAATTTTATTTTTGTCATGTTTTGTGGCAACAGTGAGAGAAGCATGCATCCTCACAGAAACACACATCTTCACAAAATGTACCTACATGTCAGAAGACATATCAGATTGTACCCTGAGTCCAGGGTGTTTGTAGCAACTACTGTGATTTTTTTTGTTTTTTTTGTAGACACAACAAAAAGCCAAGAATATCTATCACCTTGGCAACTGTAAATATTTTGACACATATTTTCACATACTTTGGCCGAAGCCAAAAAAACAGCTTGAACAGTTCCTGTCCTAAACCAGAGGTGATTTGGTTGTTTAGTGGCATGGGTCAGAGGTTAGAGATCACCACAGTTCACACCAAGTTAATCAAAATGGATGTAAAAATATTTCTACACACAATACCCCATAATGACAAAGTGAAAACATGTTTTTAGAAATGTTTGCACATTTATTTAACCCTCCTATTATGTTGCGGGTCAATTTGACCCATTTCCACTTTTGAGTTGTCTAAAATACTAATTAACCTCTCTTTTTCTCCATGAAATTAAATGACTTTGTCAGTAGCTGAGTGTAGATGCGGTGAGGAAATCAAGCGCAGGAAACACGGGCGTTCGTCAACAGACTTTAGTTAACAAAATGCAGCACCAAACAGACGAACAGCCAACCCAACCGGGAGGCAAAATACAAATTACGCACAACACACACAGTGCGTAAAAGGAAGATAGCGCACACAGTGCGGACTCTCGGAAAACAACAAACACGAGAGTAATACAAAAAGAGCAACAGCTTGACAATAAACAATACCACATAACACCTGCCCCCACACACGAAAACTAAATAGGCAACCAAATCAAACACTAACAAGGGACAGGTGTACAAACAGACAAAACCAAACAAACATGAAACATCGAACGGTGGCAGCTAGTACTCCGGGGACGACGACCGCCGAAGCCTGCCCGAACAAGGAGGAGGAGCAGCCTCGGACGAAACCGTGACAGACTTTTCCTCATTTAGGGTCATGAAACTAACTGCAAATTGTGGACACACTGATGTGTTGTGGAATGTCTGTGTAGATTTTGTATACAAACATGATGTTGTGGGTCATTTTGACCCGGAGGCTTTCATGTGTATAGATATTTGCACAGGTCCAAAATAAACAAGTGTCTGATGTATTTTGTTTTGACTGGTTCTGGTTGCAATTTTATAATTATGTTTGGGTGAAAAGGAGCTTTCCCAAACTTCTCCTTCTCAGTGCGAGAGCAGCAGATCTCTGACACAGACACTCAAAAATGAGCTCCAAAAGATTTTCAGTCAATGAAGCTTTATCACAAATTCTGGACTGTGACAGTGAAATAGAAGAAGAGGTTTCAGAGTCAAGGGGTCTGAATACTTTCCGAATGGACTGTATAGGCCTAGTAGACTAGTGCTACTTCTACAGTGCCTTGCAAAAGTATTCATCCCCCTTGGCGTTTTTCCTATTTTGTTGCATTACAACCTGTAATTTAAATGGATTTTTATTTGGATTTCATGTAATGGACATGAACAAAATAGTCCACATTGGTGAAGTGGAATTAAAAAAATTACTTGTTTCAAAAAATTCTACAAAATAAATAACAGAAAAGTGGTTTGTGCATATGTATTCACCCACGTTGCTATGAAGCCCCTAAATAAGATCTGGTGCAACCAATTACCTTCAGAAGTCACATAATTAGTTAAATAAAGTCCACCTGTGTGCAATCTAAGTGTCACATGATCTGTCACATGATCTCAGTATATATACACCTGTTCTGAAAGGCCCCAGAGTCTGCAACACCACTAAGCAAGGGGCACCACCAAGCAAGCGGCACCATGAAGACCAAGGAGCTCTCCAAACAGGTCAGGGACAAAGTTGTGGAAAAGTACAGATCAGGGTTGGGTTATAAAAAAATATCTGAAACTTTGAGATTCCTACGGAGCACCACTAAATCCATTATTAAAAACTGGAAAGAATATGGCACCACAACAAACCTGCCAAGAGAGGGCCGCCCACCAAAACTCATAGACCAGGCAAGGAGGGCATTAATCAGAGAGGCAACAAAGACACCAAAGATAACCCTGAAGGAGCTGCAAAGCTCCTCAGCGGAGATTGGAGTGTCTGTCCATAGGACCACTTTAAGCCTTACACTCCACAGAGCTGGGCTTTACGGAAGAGTGGGCAGAAAAAAGCCATTGCATAAAGAAAAAAAATAAGCAAACACATTTGGTGTTTGCCAAAATGCATGTGGGAGACTCCCCAAACATATGGAAGAAGGTACTCTGGTCAGATGAGACTAAAATTGAGCTTTTTAGCCATCAAGGAAAACGCTATGTCTGGCGCAAACCCAACACCTCTCATCACCCCGAGAACAATATCCCCACAGTGAAGCATGGTGGTGGCAGCATCATGCTGTGAGGATGTTTTTCATCGGCAGGGACAGGGAAACTGGTCAGAATTGAAGGAATGATGGATGGCGCTAAATACAGGGAAATTCTTGAGGGAAACCTGTTTCAGTCTTCCACAGATTTGAGACTGGGACGGAGGTTCACCTTCCAGCAGGACAATGAGCCTAAGCATACTGCTATAGCAACACTCAAGTGGTTTACGGGGAAACATTTAAATGTCTTGGAATAGTCAAAGCGCAGATCTCAATCCAATTTAAAATCTTTGGTATGACTTAAAGATTGCGGTACACCAGCGGAACCCATCCAACTTGAAGGAGCTGGAGCAGTTTTGCCTTGAAGAATGGGCAAAAATCCCAGTGGCTAGATGTGCCAAGTTTATAGAGACATACCCCAAGAGACTTGCAGCTGAATTGCTGCAAAAGGTGGCTCTACAAAGTATTGACTTTGGGGGGGTGAATAGTTATGCACGCTCAAGTTTTCTGTTTTTTTGTCTTATTTCTTGTTTGTTTCACAATAAAACATATTTTGCATCTTCAAAGAGGTAGGCATAATTGTGTAAATCAAATGATACAAACCCCCAAAAAATCTAATAAAAAAAAAAAAGGAAAAATGCCAAGGGGGTGAATACTTTCGCAAGCCACTGTATGTTCTCCCTAACAGCAAAAGGAAATAATATATAATAATTTTTGACATGTATGGTTTCTTTTTCTGTGTTTAAAGTTCTCGATTGCCTATCATACATTTTTATTCTAGATAAAAAAAGCGGAGGACCTATCAGAGGTGAAGAACAAATTGGAGGAATCAGTAGACTGGCTGATCCTACTGGGGCTTAAAAGGATTGTTGTCAAGACAATGGAGGACAGGGATGGTGTGGTTGAATTGGTGGCTCAACAATTTGTCCAAGGGAGCATGCAGGTGGCCTTGGAGCAGTAAGTCAACTCTGTTAGAAATCTATGTGAAGTACTTGTCATTACCTCCTCTAACATAAATATGTTTAATCGGTCCACCCCCCTAAATCAATACACAGCACTATATTGTCCTTAACACATCTTTTTTTATGTACATACTGTCTCTAAACTATAACAAGTTCAAATATGGTCTCAACTCTCTTGTTCTGCTGGAGGTGTTTCCGAGCACTTTTTTGTGGACTCCATAAAGCCTCCCACTGCCAGGGACCTGAGGGACCGGTTTAAAGTCACCTATTCCATACCAGGAGGCAAACGGCCGTGGTTGGAGAACAACGCCATCTGCCACTGGTTCAACTGGCTGGCCGAGGTGCAAGATATGATAATAGTTAAATTGTTATTCAAGTTTAACGGTAACTGCATATTATTAAATTTGTGATTTGAATGTGTATTTTAAAGGTTTTACTGTGTACGCCTCAGATGGAGAATGTCCTCCGCTAACAGTGGCGATGGTGTTGAAGTTTGCTACCTGGGCGACGGTGGAGCCACCCCTGGGGTTTGAGGAAACCCCGACCATTGAGTCGCTGGGCAGCAGAAGAAAAAGTACCCAGAAGCAAACACGTGTGCTGTGACACTAAGGCTCCCTCTTCATAGCACCTACAATGCCTTTAGGGATTTAATGACCTCAGGTATTGTGAATTCCCTGCATTTCGGTGTTTGTTGCATAAACACACCTTAGTGGAGAGTGCCACAGAATAGTTATAACATTGGAGGGTGAACTACTTGTATTCACAAGTCTGTGGGACTTGTTCTGGCTTCCCTCTTCCACCATTTCATATTTGGGACTTTTTCTTCAGTGCACTTTTTATATGTACTGGCTATGTACTAAAGACTTGTACATTTCTGACCATGTTCTTTGAATGTCTTAATGTACCTCTTTTCTGCCCACTTGTCAACAGACTAATTAAGACAAGTTAGCAGATATATTTGGCAGCTAAATTAATTGTTTTTCAAAATATTTATTTTTATGATACAGAATTTGTAGAATGCATCCATTTTATCTAGTAGCACTAAACTACAGCAGCAATTGAGTGCTTAAAAGTTTAAGTTACGTCTGTGTATAATAATGTGTATGGGTATGGCATTTATTTTGACTGCACATCAACATGTAAGCATTTATCTACTTACCATCTAGTTATTGTTAGTACAGTGGGGGAAAAAAAGTATTTAGTCAGCCACCAATTGTGCAAGTTCTCCCACTTAAAAAGATGAGAGAGGCCTGTAATTTTCATCATAGGTACACTTCAACTATGACAGACAAAATGAGAAAAAAAATCCAGAAAATCACATTGTAGGATTTCTAATGAATTTATTTGCAAATTATGGTGGAAAATAAGTATTTGGTCAATAACAAAAGTTTCTCAATACTTTATATACCCTTTGTTGGCAATGACACAGGTCAAACGTTTTCTGTAAGTCTTCACAAGGTTTTCACACACTGTTGCTGGTATTTTGGCCCATTCCTCCATGCAGATCTCCTCTAGAGCAGTGATGTTTTGGGGCTGTCGCTGGGCAACACGGACTTTCAACTCCCTCCAAAGATTTTCTATGGGGTTGAGATCTGGAGACTGGCTAGGCCACTCCAGGACCTTGAAATGCTTCTTACGAAGCCACTCCTTCGTTGCCCGGGCGGTGTGTTTGGGATCATTGTCATGCTGAAAGACCCAGCCACGTTTCATCTTCAATGCCCTTGCTGATGGAAGGAGGTTTTCACTCAAAATCTCACGATACATGGCCCCATTCATTCTTTCCTTTACACGGATCAGTCGTCCTGGTCCCTTTGCAGAAAAACAGCCCCAAAGCATGATGTTTCCACCCCCATGCTTCACAGTAGGTATGGTGTTCTTTGGATGCAACTCAGCATTCTTTGTCCTCCAAACACGACGAGTTGAGATTTACCAAAAAGTTATATTTTGGTTTCATCTGACCATATGACATTCTCCCAATCCTCTTCTGGATCATCCAAATGCACTCTAGCAAACTTCAGACGGGCCTGGACATGTACTGGCTTAAGCAGGGGGACACGTCTGGCACTGCAGGATTTGAGTCCCTGGCGGCGTAGTGTGTTACTGATGGTAGGCTTTGTTACTTTGGTCCCAGCTCTCTGCAGGTCATTCACTAGGTCCCCCCGTGTGGTTCTGGAATTTTTGCTCACCGTTCTTGTGATCATTTTGACCCCACGGGGTGAGATCTTGCGTGGAGCCCCAGATCGAGGGAGATTATCAGTGGTCTTGTATGTCTTCCATTTCATAATAATTGCTTCCACAGTTGATTTCTTCAAACCAAGCTGCTTACCTATTGCAGATTCAGTCTTCCCAGCCTGGTGCAGGTCTACAATTTTGTTTCTGGTGTTCTTTGACAGCTCTTTGGTCTTGGCCATAGTGGAGTTTGGAGTGTGACTGTTTGAGGTTGTGGACAGGTGTCTTTTATACTGATAACAAGTTCAAACAGGTGCCATTAATACAGGTAACGAGTGGAGGACAGTGGAGCCTCTTAAAGAAGAAGTTACAGGTCTGTGAGAGCCAGAAATCTTGCTTGTTTGTAGGTGACCAAATACTTATTTTCCACCATAATTTGCAAATAAATTCATTAAAAATCCTACAATGTGATTTTCTGGATTTTTTTTTCTCAATTTGTCTGTCATAGTTGACATGTACCTATGATGAAAATTACAGGCCTCTCTCATCTTTTTAAGTGGGAGAACTTGCACAATTGGTGGCTGACTAAATACTTTTTTTCCTCACTGTATATCCGTATTGACTGTTAATGTTCACATAATGATCATTCATCTGAAATTTAATTATTAATTACACAGTCCATATTGTTGTTTGTCTTGGTGTTTTATGGTTTAGTTGTTTTCCCGAAACACTTTGCTGATATTGACTGAAGTACTGCTGTCATATTGCAGCCAACTCATCTAAATCTGATCATTTGTTCTTAAATGTAGGACATCAAATTAACTTAAACCATTCTAATTTAATTAGAACTATATGAAATGATAAGGCTTTCATTCCGTTGCATTAAGTGACAGCTCCACTTATGGGAACTGCACCTTTGTAGTGACTTTTTCAAATTCCAAATGCATTGATCTCTAAGAACTAGATCCACTAGTCCAAGTCTCTCCAACCCTACTCCTGTAGGTTTTCGATCCAAACTCAGTTGTAACTAACCTGATTAACTTATTAACCAGCTAATTATTAGAATCAGGTGCGCTAGATTAGGGTTGGAGCGAAAACCTACAGAACAGCAACTCTCCAGGAAGTGTTGGAGAGCCCTGCACTAGTCTAGCTTCAACCACATCATTTGAGCTGTCACAATGTGTCAACAATGTTATGTTGCTAACTGTAATAGGCTGCTGTTAATCACAATTATATAAATGAAAATGTAACAGGGGCCGAACCACCGGTCCAGTAAAACCCCAGTAGAATCCCTATCTTGATTTTTTTTTAACTTGAGGAGCAGACAGTAGGGCATTCCACACAATTATTTATTTTAACAATTTCTAAAAGTCCCGATTGGGTATTCCAAAAGGTAATGTTTTGTTTTAATGTCCATTCAGAATGTTTTGTTGTCCTCTCACAGCAGGCACGCTCTGAGGACTCCAATCGAGTGCTTGGAGTAGGCCTCTCCTGGGGCTCGTTGTACTGAGTGGAAAACAAATATTCTGTCAGCAGATGGCGCTGTTGTGATAAAGCGCCATAAAATACAATAGACCTCAACCATAAGCTGTATATCTTAAAAGTACCTCCAAATATGATCAAACAAAATCGTAATGGAATGGAGAAGTACTTAACTTTTGTACACCTCTGTCTAAACTCTGGTCCCTGTCCGTTTAGAGTTGAAGATGTCTGTCGTACCTTTCTAGAGAACAAATCATACAGTGTGTCAAATAGGCTGGAGGGTGGAAGGGGTTTCCAAAAGCAGGAATACAGTAATTGCAAAGCAAAAAAACAATAATGAATAATAGTATATGAATCCACAACCCAATAGGGAAATCAACAAAGCGTGATAAGGTAATTCAAAATCAAAGGTAAATGGAGAGGCGGGGTATATGTTGAATGGAGAAGTACTTAGCTTTTGGGAAGGTCTCCTCTCATCGCTTCAACTCTGGTCAAGGTCCGCTCCAGTTTGGCTACAGCACGAGTTGTCTAGTTACCTCAACGTTGTCGGGAACACTGCGCACTGCCAACCCCAGTAGTAGCTAAACACAGATATCTCTGAACCCACTGTGAGGGGCCATACACCTTGAGACTATTTGTTAAGGGTTGAAGATGTCTGTAGTACCTTTCTAGAGACCAAATCATACAGTGTGTGATAGAGGGGGAGTGTTACCTCGGGTACAGTTTCTGTGCAAGGAGGAGGGGGTTTCCAAAGCTCTGGTTGTTGAAGAGTTCACTGATGGTGGCATCCTAATTGGTTGTGTTATTATTGGTGTTATAAAAATGATTCAAGGACTGAAAAAATATGATTTGTGTTAACATTTAAAACAGTATTATAACAATGAACTGATTCAAAGGAACAAGTGACGCTGAAGATAAAGTGTCCTATCCTTCGTCCCAGTAGGGGAGTGGCGGGTGTAGTAAGTCAGGTTGGAGAGTAGGAATGAGTGGCGCTGAAGATAAAGCGTCCTATCAAGTTTCAAGTTTCAAGTTTTAATGTCACATGCACAAGTACAGTGAAATGCCTTTCTTGCAAACTCAAAACCCCACAATGCAATAATCAATAACAATGTAATACTAGGGGAAAAAAACACAAGAAATAAGAAGAAAAATGAAGAACACAATAAGTAAGTAAGCATACTATATACAGGGTCAGTTCCAATACCATATTTACAATGTGCAGGGATACCGGTGTGATGGAGGTAGATATGTATAGGGGTAAGGTGACTAGGCATCAGGATATAAGATAAACAGAGTAGCAGCAGCTTGCATGTGAGTGGGTGTGTGTGTGTGTAGAGTCAGTATACATGTATGTGCATGTTATGTGAGAGTGAGCAGATGATGGAGTGAGTGTGTGTGCGAGTGTGTATGGCCCTGTGAGTGTGCATAGAGACAAAAATACAAATACAAATAAAAAGGTCAATGAGGATACAAGGTTAACTCAGATAGTCTGTGTAGCTATTTTGTTAGCTATTTATCAGTCATATTGCTTGGGGATAGAAACTGTTCAAGAGCCTGTTGGTGCTAGACTTGATGCACCGGTACCACTTGCCGTGCGGAAGCAGAGAGAATAGTCCATGGCTTGGGTGGTTGGAGTCTTTAACGATCTTCCAGGCCTTCCTACCACACCACCTGATATAGAAGTCCTGGATGGCAGGGAGCTCAGCCCCAGTGATGTAATTGGCTGTCCACACCACCCTCTGTAGTGCCATGTGATTGAGGGCGGTGCTATTGCCATACCAGGCAGTGAGGCAGCCAGTCAAAATGCTCTCAATGGGACAGCTGTAGAACTTTTTGAGGATTTGAGGGCCCATGCCAAACTTTTTCAACCTCCGGTTGCACCTTCTTCATGATGCCTTCTTCATGACTTGTGCCTTCTTCATGACTGTGCGCGTGTGTTTGGACCATTTTAAGTCTTTAGTGATTTGTGTAGTCCACGATCAGCTTCTTGGTCTTACTGACGTTGAGGGAGAGGTTGTTGTTGAGGCACTGACCTCCTCCCTGTAGGCTGACTCATCATCGCCAGGGATCAGGCCTACCACCGTCGTGTCGTAAGCAAACTTGATGATTGTGTTGGAGTCGTGCGTGGACACGCAGTCGTGGGTGAACAGGGAGTACAGGAGGGGACTAAGCACACACCCTGTGGGGCCCCTGTGTTGAGGGTCAGCGTGGCAGAGGTGATGTTGCCTACCCTCACCACCTGGAGTCGGCCCGTCAGGAATTCCAGGATCCAGTTGCAGAGGGAGGTGTTCAGACCCAGAGTCCTAAGCTTGGTGACGAGCTTGGAGGGGACAATGGTGTTGAACGCTGAGCTATAATCAATGAACAGCATTCTCACATAGGTATTCCTCTTATCTAGGTGGGTGAGGGCAGTGTGGAGAGCAATTGAGATTGCGTCATCTATGGATCTGTTGGGGCGGTATGCAAATTGGAGTGGGTCTAAAGTGTCTGGGATGGTCGAGTTAATGTGTCCCAGTCACGGGGTGAGTGTGGAGCACTTAGGGCAATTGTAGAGCTGCCATAACCCTCTGTAGAATGTCAACTTCCAGGCTGCCTCTGGGGCCTTCTATTGGATTTATTGTCCGCAACAGTTCCACACAATCACCCCTTCCGACCAATAAAGAGCTGCAGCGCCAGTGGTTGGAAGAGATGAGGTGGTGGTGGTTGGAGGAGCTGAGGTGGTGGTGGTTGGAGGAGCTGAGGTGGTGGTAATAATAATAATAAGCCATTTAGCAGACGCTTTTATCCAAAGCGACTTACAGTCGTGCGTGCATACATTTTTGTGTATGGGTGGTCCCGGGGATCGAACCCACTACCTTGGCGTTACAAGCGCCGTGCTCTACCAGCTGAGCTACAGAGGACCACACCAAGTGGTGGTTGGAGGAGCTGAGGTGGTGGTGGTTGGAGGAGCTGAGGTGTTGGTGGTTGGAGGAGCTGAGGTGTTGGTGGTTGGAGGAGCTGAGGTGTTGGTGGTTGGAGGAGCTGAGGTGGTGGTGGTGGTTGGAGGAGCTGAGGTGGTGGTGGTTGGAGGAGCTGAGGTGGTGGTGGTGGTTGGAGGAGCTGAGGTGTTGGTAGTTGGAGGAGCTGAGGTGGTGGTGGTTGGAGGAACTGAGGTGGTGGTGGTTGGAGGAGCTGAGGTGGTGGTGGTGGTTGGAGGAGCTGAGGTGTTGGTAGTTGGAGGAGCTGAGGTGGTGGTGGTTGGAGGAACTGAGGTGGTGGTGTTTGGAGGAGCTGAGGTGGTGGTGGTGGTTGGAGGAGCTAAGGTGGTGGTGGTGGTTGGAGGAGCTGAGGTTGTGGCTTGAGAGGTGATGGTGGTTGAAGCTGGGGCAAACAAATCCCTTACTGCTATCAGATTGGCCCTCTGCATTGCCAGGGAACCCGAGACAAACAACTGCAGAGGTGACGGCCGTCATTCAGTCCTCAGCCCATGGTGGTTCGCTGACTAGCAAACACAGCAAGATCTCTGTTCACCCGTGGCAGGAACCCAAAGTGCAGTGCCCACAGGTGCACATCGTTGTTGATGTCGATGATCTGCTCTGTCTCCAAGAAGGTGAACAGGTCATGGTAAGTGTTGGAGACTCCATGCCAGACGTCCCCCCACAGCCGCTCTATCCTCTGGTTGTGAGTGCTCCTTCCCCTGAGGCCACTTCCCCTCTCACCACCTCTGAACTGCTCCATGAAGGCACATGTACGGAAGTTTTCACCACCCCGGTCACATCTCACCCGAAATGGCACTCTGTAGCTGGTGATGGCTGCCTCGAATGACTCCGTGACTGTGGCACTCCTGTCGTTGTCGGAGGCCTTCAAAAACACCACAAATCTGCTGTAGCCATACACAGCACCATGGATATCAATCCTCAACCTAAAAAACATATTTATTTTATTTAATTTAACCTTTATTTAACTAGGCAAGTCAGTTAAGAACAAATTCTTATTTACAATGGCCTACACCGGCCAAACCCGGACGACGCTGGGCCAATTGTGCGTCGCCCTATGAGACTCCCAATCACGGCCTGTTGTGATACAGCCTGGAATCGAATCAGGGGGTCTGTAGTGATGCCTCAAGCACTGAGATGCAGTGCCTTAGACTGCTGCGCCACTCGGGAGTCGAGTGACTTGTTAAGCAACATTTTACTCCTGAACTTATTTTGGATTGCCATAACATAGGGGTTGAATTCTTATTGACTCAAGACATTTCAGCTTTTTATTTGTAATTAATTTGTTAAAAATTCCACTTTGACATTATGGGGAATTGTGTGTAGGTCAGTGACACAATGTCAAGAGGTGTGAAGGGACTGTATACCCGGGAATAGGATCACAATTATTTCATGACCATATAACCAGATAAATCATTAGTTGTTTACGATGTTAAGATTGTAAAAATGTGTATTGGTCAGGAGGCCTAAGTCTATGCACTTACCGGATCAGCTTATCGATGCCATCGATGTGCCACAAAGAATTTGGGCCTGCAACTCTGTACTGCCTCCAGTGTAGCCTCTGCTGCATGGCTCTCCTCGCAGCTCCCTGGGGGTTGACATGGATCAGACTCTGTCTGACCCTCTCCCGCTGGACTCGAACACCCTCTCCTCTTAAGCGTGCCCTCACAGACTCTATATCAAGTTCTTCATTCTGGCCTATCAGCTCTTTGATCCTCTCATCCAGTTGAGCATCTGACAACAGTGAGTAGGACCTGAAGAGCTGAAAATGACTAAATACAAAAAGAACACAAAAAGATACAAATCTAGGGAGGATGTAGAGATCTCCCTCTTGTGTTACAATTGCTTATTTCAATTACGATAACTTACCTCATGCACAGCTTGACCACGGAGTGCGACAAATTGAGAACATCTGCCATATGTCTGATGTTCATACGGCAATCTATGAGGAACTTGATAGGCGACTAAAATAAAAATTACAATAAATCATTAATTACAACATACATTCTTAAAACCTTTTTTAGATTAAAAGACTAAGAGCACCATACATCATTTAGAAACAGCATTAGAGATAGGCCAACCAAATGTTTTTTTCACTAATTGACTGATAGACTTGCTAGATAAAGGCGCACACAAAATCCCAGACTTGACACAGGAGACTTAACACAGGACAAGTAAAATGATACAATCTCAGGCTTTGCCACGCATGCCGTTCAAAAAACTATACAAATGTATCAACTTGTCATATTGGTAAGGTTCCCATTGTTGGATGTCCTTTGCTTCTTGCAGGAACTCCACTGCAACAGCAATTAGATTGCTGGCCATCTCTTCATCAATCAAATGGCCGCTTGCCCACCGAAGGCTCCACAACATGGTCTCTAGCCTGAAAAATAGACAGCAGGCCTGATTGGTCCAGTGACATTTTATTTGTATGTAGCTAACGACCCCTAAAGTGTACACTTGTTTAATCTGTGCCAACTCTCAGAGCCTCTGACATATGATGACAATCGAGCATTGACAGGCGACGCAGTTTTAACTAGAAACTAGCTATAAAAAAAAAGGTTATTCGTACAGACATCACTGTAGCTAGCTAGCTAACTGGTTAACGTTTTATAGATTCCATAACTAACGTTAGATCATGGACAATTAACGTTAGCTAGCTATCTTGATTTCAGTTTAATGTCAATGGCAGGCAGATCTATCTAGATCTAACGTTGTTAGCTGGGTAGCATTATATTATCTAGCTACTGTCTTTGCAGCAGTTACACCCTCTTAATGTTACCTGGCTCTTGATGGTAGAAGTCCATCTCTTCTGTCCTTGAGCAGCAGTCTGGTGCAATTTTCGAGAAACTGGGCAGCCATTGTTAATTAGCTAGCAAATTTTACCTCAGAAGAACAGTTATCTAACTTTATCTCAGAAGAACAGAAAGTTGAGTGAACTTCTTTCATCGGTACCTGAGAGAATGAGCAGTTAGAGAATTGGGCGGAGTCCTAATGACCTTTATGTAAATGAAGATCACAAGTAACAAAATCTATTACTGTGAATCACTGTGACATATGAAATATGAGTGATAGTGTAATTAATGTGTAATAACTACGTAAAAAAATTATGAAAGTGTTAAATTATTATGTGCAGTCATATTCAGGTCCTAATTGGTCAACAAGCTTATTTGACACGTCAAATAGTGTTATTTGACACATCAAACAGTGTAATTTTATGTGTATATTTTTTGACATGCAAAGACCCAAACAACATTCCATAGCTACTTGACAGATAGCTAGATACTAGAGCTGAACTGGCTGTGGTAGCTACTGGCTAGCTAGTTCATTCTCTTCAGACAGAACTTCAGTCGAGAGGGGATGAAACATTACTGTAGCTAACGTTACATGTCAGTTGCACCACTAGCTCAGCACTTGGAATAAATACTTTATTTATGTTAAGTGAAACAGAAGTTACCTTGCCAGCTACATTAGTCAAATAAAGAGTAGCCAGTTTCTGCTCTGCTTGCTTTTACAACTCGGAGAAAAAGCGCAACACACACAGAGACAACAGCTGCAGACAGCAGCACCGTGCCTTTCAGAAGCTTTGTCTTCACACAGCCGGTCCGCATGCTCTGTGGTGTCTGCGTGGTCCTGATAAAACTGAGGGGGATAAAAAATATATTTGAGAATGTTGGGGGGTCATGTCCCCCCCCGTCCCCAGTGAAAGTTGTTCCCCTGCAGCCTCCAACATGCTTGAAAATATGAAAGTGGTACTCAGTGATGTGTTGTGTTTGATTTTTTCCATACATAACACTTTGTATTCAGGACATAAAGTTCATTTCTTTGCCACATTTTTTTTGCAGTTTTACTTTAGTGCCTTATTGCAAACAGGATGTTTGGAATATTTTTATTCTTTACAAGCTTCCTTCTTTTCACTCTGTCATTTGGGTTAGTATTGTGGAGTAACTACAATGTTGTTGATCCATCCTCAGTTTTCTCCTATCACAGCCATTAAATTCTGTAACTTTCTTAAAGTCACCATTGGCCTCATGGTGAAATCTCTGAGCGGTTTCCTTCCTCTCCGGCAACTGAGTTAGGACGGACGCCTGTATCTTTGTAGTGACTGGGTGTATTGATACACCATCCAAAGTGTCATTAATAACTTCACCATGCTCAAATGGATATTCAATGGCTGCTTTTTTAGTTTTACCCATCTACCAATAGGTGCCCTTCTTTGCGAGGTATTGGAAAAAATCCCTGGTCTTTCAGGTTGAATCTGTGTTTGAAATTCACTGTTCGACAGAGGGACCTTACAGATAATTGTATGTGTGGGGTAAAGAGATGAGGTAGTCATTAAAAATCATGTTAAGCATTATTATTGCACACACAGCTAGTCCATGCAAGTTATTATGTGACTTGTTAAGCACATTTTTACTCCTGAATTTAGGCTTGCCTTAACAAAGGGGTTGAATACTTATTGACTCAAGACATTTCAGCTTTTACATTTCCACAAACATAATTCCACTTTGACATTATGGGGTATTGTGTATAGGCCAGTGACACAAAATCTAAATTTAACCTCTATGTGATCGGTGTCCCATATACGGGACGGTTGAGCTAACGTGCGCTAATGTGATTAGCATGACTGTTGTAAGTAACAGCAAACTGTCCAGTACATACAGTGCCTTGCAAAAGTATTCATCCCCCTTGGCGTGTTTCCTATTTGTTGCATTACAACCTGTAATTTAAATGGATTTTTATTTGGATTTCATTTAATGGACATACACAAAATGGTCCAAATTGGTGAAGTGAAATGAAAAAAATAACTTGTTTAAAAAAATTAGAACAAATAAATAACGTAAAAGTGTTGCGTGCATATGTATTCACCCCCTTTGCTATGAAGCCCCTAAATAAGATCTGGTGCAACCAATTACCTTCCGAAGTCACATAATTAGTTAAATAAAGTCCACCTGTGTTCAATCTAAGTGTCACATGATTTGTCACATGATTTCAGTACATATACACCTGTTCTGAAAGGCCCCAGAGTCTGCAACACCACTAAGCAAGGGGCACCCCCAAGCAAGTGGCACCATGAAGACCAAGGAGCTCTCCAAACAGGTCAGGGACAAAGTTGTGGAGAAGTACAGATCAGGGTTGGGTTATAAAAAAATATATCTGAAACTTTGAGATTCCTACAGAGCACCATTAAATCCATTATTAAAAAATGGAAAGAATATGGCACCACAACAAACCTGCCAAGAGAGGGCCGCCCATCAAAACTCACGGACCAGGCAAGGAGGGCATTAATCAGAGAGGCAACAAAGAGACCAAAGATAACCCTGAAGGAGCTGCAAAGCTCCACAGCGGAGATTGGAGTATCTGTCTATAGGACCACTTTAAGCAGTACACTCCACAGAGCTGGGCTTTACGGAAGAGTGGGCAGAAAAAAGCCATTGCTTAAAGAAAAAAATAAGCAAACACGTTTGGTGTTTGCCAAAAGGCATGTGGGAGTCTCCCCAAACATATGGAAGAAGGTACTCTGGTCAGATGAGACTAAAATTTAGCTTTTTGGCCATCAAGGAAAACACAATGTCTGGCGCAAACCCAACACCTCTCATCACCCCGAGAACACCATCCCCACAGTGAAGCATGGTGGTGGCAGCATCAATGCTGTGGGGATGTTTTTCATTGGCAGGGACTGAGAAACTGGTCAGAATTGAAGGAATGATGGATGGCGCTAAATACAGGGAAATCCTTGAAGGAAACCTGTTTCAGTCTTCCAGAGATTTGAGACTGGGACGGATGTTCACCTTCCAGCAGGACAATGACCCTAAGCATACTGCTAAAGCAACACTTGAGTTGTTTAAGGGGAAACATTTAAATGTCTTGGAATGGCCTAGAGAATTATTTTTTTGTGTATGGGTGGTCCCGGGGATCGAACCCACTACCCTGGCGTTACAAGCACCGTGCTATACCAGCTGAGCTACAGAGGACTTAAAGATTGCTGTATACCAGCGGAACCCATCCAACTTGAAGGAGCTGGAGCAGTTTTGCCTTAAAGAATGGGCAGAAATCCCAGGTGGGGGGGGGGGGGGGGGGGGGGGGGGGTTGTGAATAGTTATGCACGCTCAAATTTTCAGTTTTTTTGTCTTATTTCTTGTTTGTTTCACCATAAAAAATATTTTGCATCTTCAAAGTGGTAGGCATGTTGTGTAAATCAAATGTCACGACTTGTTTGTTTGTTGTGATTGTTTGTTGTGAGAGCGTGTAGCTCGGTTGAGCTACTATTTACTGTGTTTATGCCAAGGTGGATGTTTGCCCTTGTAATAATTTCATTTGACGCTTGGGGCGTTTTTTTATGTAAATGGAACATACTCTGGACTTCGGTATTTTACCTCCTGCGCCTGACTCCTTCATTCACACCTCGTCACATAAAATGATACAACCCCCCCCAAAAATAAAATGTAATTCCAGGTTGTAAGGCAACAAAATAGGAAAAATGCCAAGGGGGGTGAATACTTTTATACAGGCAACAAACTGTGGTCCTCTGTAGCTCAGCTGGTAGAGCACGGCGCTTGTAACGCTAAGGTAGTGGGTTCGATCCCCGGGACCACCCATACACAAAAATAATAATAATGCACGCATGACTGTAAGTCGCTTTGGATAAAAGTGTCTGCTAAATGGCATATTATTATTACTTTCGCAAGCCACTGTAGACATGTCTTATATGGGCAGAAAGCTTAATCTAACTGCACTGTCCAATTTACAGTAGCTATTACAGTGAAACAACAACAAACTTATCACGGCAACTGGTTTGATACATTCACCTCTGAAGGTAAATAATGTACTTACATTCAGTAATCTTGCTCTGATTTGTCATCCTAAGGGTCCCAGAGATAAAATGTAGCATAGTTTTGTTTGATAAAATCAATTTGTACATTGAAATGTAGGAACTGGGTTCTACAGTTTGAACCCCCGCTGTCTCTGGCTCCACACCCACCCCGCCCGGCCATCTCGATGTGTGAAAGTTAGTGAACACCCCCAAAGCATAATGTTTCCACCTCCATGTTTGTCGGTGGGGATGGTGTTCTTGGGGTCATAGGCAGCATTCCTCCTCCTCCAAACATGGCGAGTTGAGCCAAAGAGCTCGATTTTGGTCTCATCTGACCACAACACTTTCACCCAGTTCTCCTCTGAATCTCGATGTGTGAAAGTTAGTGAACACCCCCAAAGCATAATGTTTCCACCTCCATGTTTGTCGGTGGGGATGGTGTTCTTGGGGTCATAGGCAGCATTCCTCCTCCTCCAAACACGGCGAGTTGAGCCAAAGAGCTCGATTTTGGTCTCATCTGACCACAACACTTTCACCCAGTTCTCCTCTGAATCATTCAGATGTTCATTGGCAAACTTCAGACGGCCCTGTATATGTGCTTTCTTGAGCAGGTGGACCTTGCGGGCACTGCAGGATTTCAGTCCTTCACGGCGTAGTGTGTTACCAATTGTTTTCTTGGTGACTATGGTCCCAGCTGCCTTGAGATCATTGACAAGATCCTCCCGTGTAGTTCTGGGCTGATTCCTCACCGTTCTCATGATCATTGCAACTCCACGAGGTGAGATCTTGCATGGAGCCCCAGGCCGAGGGATTAATCGCACCAACTGTTGTCACCTTCTCACCAAGCTGCTGGCGATGGTCTTGTAGCCCATTCCAGCCTTGTGTAGGTCTACAATCTTGTCCCTGACATCCTTGGAGAGCTCTTTGGTCTTGGCCATGGTGGAGAGTTTGGAATCTGATTGATTGATTGCTTCTGTGGACAGGTGTCTTTTATACAGGCAACAAACTGAGATTAGGAGCACTCCCTTTAAGAGTATGCTCCTAATCTCAGCTCGTTACCTGTATAAAAGACACCTGGGAGCCAGAAATCTTTCTGATTGAGAGGGGTTCAAATACTTATTTCCCTCATTAAAATGCAAATCAATTTATAACATTTTTGACATGTTTTTTTTTTGGATTTTTTTGTTGTTATTCTGTCTATCACTGTTCAAATAAACCTACCATTAAAATTATAGACTGATAATTTTTTTGTCAGTGGGCAAACGTACAAAATCAGCAGGGGATCAAATACTTTTTTCCCTCACTGTACTTTCTGAAGGCACTGTACACGTTGAATGCCCCCATGTCTTTTTTTTTATCGTACTTCAAGTGGTCTTACAATCACTGTAAATCAAAACCCTTAGAGTATGTCCTTTAAAACCATCTTTATTTGCTGTTTGTCTTCTGTGATTCATATATTTGTCATATGGAGATGTGTTTGCCTTGACAACAATATTCTGACATCATCAATCTCAACGGACAATTATGCACCCACAATTCCATGTCAATTCAGGAAGTGATTGCACAGCTCAGATTTGATTTGTCCTGCTAGTACAGTACGGTAAAGTAAACAAATAAATTATTCACATTGAAACCATGTAGCTATAGGACATTACATTGAAATTACATGGGTATATCTTCAGTTTTAAAAAAAGCAGCATTTGAGTGAGTTAACACATCTTTCCTAGGGTTAGGACCTTTACACAATGTACCTAAGAATATCTTTGTTATCATTGTAAGGTCTGCCCACATTCAAGGGACAGTTTTTTACACTTTTTTGAAATGTCTAATTTATAGCAGAAGATAGACTGTGTATTACCAGACGTGGAGGCATCAGGTACATGGCCAGCAGGGTTGGGGTCAATTCCATTCAAATTCAGTCATTTCCGGAATTAAACTGAATTGATTGAATTGAAATGGAGTTGACCCCAGCCCCTTTGTAGTACCAGACATTAGTGGAGGCATTCGGTACGTAGTTGGATACATGGTCATCTCGTCCTCAGCTGGCTCTCTGTCGATATCAGTAGCGGTGTGTGGGTAAAATCACTGGAGAAGCCAAGCCAGAAAAAAAAGCCATATTACAACCTAATTGCGTTGTTTGCTCTATAACCTGTTAGTTCATATTCCTTGCGACCGTGATATATACGCCTAAGGCAGAGACAAAAAAGAATAATAAATTAAACCACACCTTTGTTTCATCACAAAACCAGAGAGCAACCTCTGTCCAGTGAAGTCCACAAATTATATTGCATGTAACAAAACAGTTACATGACCTACAGCATGGTCAAGCAAGTTAATGTTTCTGACATTTTCGGACTACTAAACAACTATAGATTTAAAACCCCGGAGAGTTACCGCAAGTCGCAAAGAAAACAGGAGCTGCCTCCACTATTCCAGCACCATTTCAACATCAACATTTCAACATCATCAAATCACCTCTGCTTAGTCTAATACAGTGACAACTAAAAGATACCAAAAACAATGTAGACCAATCAACGTAAGCTAAATATGAGGTGGCCCTCCATGGTTCTGATTTCTGGCATCCATGAATACACGCCACCGGTCGATATGTGGTAGCAATTGAGCTACTGAGCCTGGGGACGAGATTAGTTACATGACCAGTGAGACAGTAAGACACAGATCCATCAGTTAGCTGTTTAATAAGGCTCTGAAGGGAGCTGGTGTACTGTAGCTGTCTTCCTGGTGGCCTCGCTATGAACGGGACATGGCCTTGCAGAAATTAGAATGACAATGAGCTGCTCAGATACCAACCCACAGCCCCACTAAACAACCTCCTTGACAGACATACAGGGAGTCATACAAACACAGACGCACACACACAGACACATCAATCAACACCCACATCAAACTTTCTTACTACACACATATGCACATTGCATCATTACACACACACACATTTACATCTACGTCACTACACACCGCGTCGCTAATCACTTCGTCATGGAAGATGAATGTGTGCGTATAAAAATGCCTTCTCATCAGTTTAGCTCCCCATCCCACAAACACCCTCACCCCACTCTTCTTCTGGTGCCCGTCCTTCATCCCAGCAAAGGAGAATCTTAATGGATTCTGTTGTCAGGAGAGAGGACTGGGTCATGCTCATTAGGGAAACACAATAGAAAAACGTTTTCAAACATTTTACAACAGAAAACTAAAATGAGTGTTTGTTATTGGAGGTTGTCCTTCCCTGTTTGTCTGTTTTGTTGCGGTTGGTACCTAATAAACATGACCCTGTTCTGTCAGGGGAGCATATGGTCATACAGGGTCATACATGTCTCTCTCTCTCTCTCTCTCTCTCTCTCTCTCTCTCTCTCTCTCTCTCTCTCTCTCAATTCAATTTCAATTCAATTTAAGGGCTCTCTCTCTCTATCTCTCTCTCTCTCTCTCTCTCTCTCTCTCTCTCTCTCTCTTTCAGATGGGATGTTAAACGGGTGTTCTGACTCTCTGTGGTCACTAAAGATCCCATGGTACTTATTGTAAGAGTAGGGGTGTTAACCCCGGTGTCCTGGCTAAATTCCTAATCTGGCCCTCACACCATCATGGCCACCTAATTATCCCCAGCTTCCAATTGGCTCATTCATCCCCCCTCCTCTCCCCTGTAACTACGTTATTCCCCAGGTCGTTGCTGTAAATGAGAATTTGTTCTCAGTCAACTTACCTGGTAAAATAAGGGTAAAATAAAATAAAATAAATAAAAGCCTATACTGTATGCTAAAGGACTAAGGTGTCCGGCAGATCCCCCTTTTCTACTAACCACATTTGTATGTATTTGTATGTATAGGAGGCTTAGACATTTCCCAGCAAACGCCCACATTGGCATGATGTGGGCCCAGTGTGGGATAAAATAATGGCCCCATATAGGCTTCCAACATTGGGCTAATGCGCCTTTGTTCATCGGCTCCAAGGCATTTGCCCAGTGTGGCCCAGTGTGGACAGCCCATATCTGGTGAGGGCAACCCTCACTTTGCCTGAAATAAGCCTACATTTTCCCAGAAGAAATGCCCACATTGGTACGATGTGGGCCCAATGCGGGCTAAAATATTGACCCCATGTAGGCTGCCCACAATGGGCAGATGCGCCTTTGCTATTTAATAGGAATCTATTTATTATAATAAATTTATTAAAATTGTATAAATGCATAAATTGCATAATTTCCAAGTCTTAAATGTATTTTAAGACTTGGTAATTTCTTTGTCAGTGGGCAAACGTACAAAATCAGCAGGGGATCAAATACTTTTTTTCCCTCACTGTATAGTGCACTACTTTTTTGGGGGACCAGAGCCCGCATATGCTCTGGTCAAAAGTAGTGCACTATATAGGGAATAAGGTGCCATTTCAGACACAGTCACAGTGTGCTGCTAATAGTTCAACAGGTTCCTATCGGTACCTGCCGGATGCCCCTTTTCCCCGTTACACAACATCGTTCCCTAAGCCGATGGGAGATGGTTAAAGTCATTGTTAGTAGTTCCTCCTTCCTTCTAATTCGGAATCCTAATCACCATGCTGACCTGACCACTCCATTGGTCTGTTCTGTTCTGTTGTCTTACGTCAGGTCAGACAGTACATCCTGTCTTGTCAGTCGATGGACCTTAGTGTTGTATAGGAATGATGCCATTCTGCTGCATTCTAGAATGTAGAGGGATCAGATCACCCACGGTTACAGTATCAGAACCCAGCCACCTGTGGATAATTAGTTCAGCCTGTGTGAGTTAACACTTCAACCCTCAGTTAGGAACATTCCTTGACAGAACTCCCTCACTGTGTGGGGTCAAACTGAGGTTAGGGTCCCCCTCCTCTTTATCCAATCTTAATTCTCTAACCAGCAGGCAAATCAACAGAGAAACCATTGTCATGTACATCCTTCTGCTCTAATAATCCAAAGTGTTCACATCCTGACATCTTCACTTACTTACTTACTTACTTACTTTATTGTCCCCATGGGGAAATGTTGTTGCAGTATCATGTACACGTTTAAAGTGGTGTTTAAATACAGTAGAAAACAAATTGACAATACAATATTCATAACAGTTACATACCAATAAAAATATACTAGCCTGCTGGCTTTACTGGGTAGATAGAAACATTAGCCTGAGCTGTTTAGGAGGGATATCACACCTGGCACAAATGATTGTCTAGTTCTGTTATTCCTGCCAGGGGGCGCCCTATCCCTGCACCAAGAGGTGAGTAGTTCAAAGTCCGGCTACAGGGGGTGGCTTGGGTCTAAAATGATTTTGTGAGTCTTGCTGAGGGCTCTGACCTTAAAGATCTCATCCAAGCCTGTCTGTTTGACTCTAAGTACCTTGCTTGCTGTGGTGATAATCTTTCTCAGCATATTTTTCTGGCTGACAGTGGCATTGCCAAACCCACAAACAATACAAAAAGTTTAAATACACTCAATGAAAGATTTGTAAAACAGAGTCAGTGTTACAGTCAATATTAAAAGATCCCAGCTTTTTGAGAAAGTACAGTCTCTGTTGACTCTTTTTGTAGATCTGGTTTGTACATTTACTCTACTGAAGTGTATTGTCCAAGAGGACACCCAGATATTTGTATTCCTCTACAATCTCTATGTGTTGACCTCTGATAGATGTTGCAAAGGTAGGTGTTGTTCGCTTCCTGAAGTCTATGCACATCTCTTTGGTCTTGTTGGTATTGAGGACCAAGTGTGATTCGTCACACCACTCTACAAAGTCATTTAGGACCGGCCATGGTGTTCCTCGTCATCATACAACAGGCTGATCAAGGAAGTGTCATCAGCAAACTTAACTAGGTGTCTGTCAGGATGGGAACTAGTACAACTATTAGTGTTCAAAATGTACAGGAGTGGGAACAAAACACATCCCTGTGGGGAGCCTGTGTTGGTGGTGTGTATGTCCGACACGTGGGGACCCACCTTGACCCGCTGTGATCTCTGGCTCAGGAAGTCCAACAGCCACAAAACCAGCCCCGCATCTAAGGAGAAGTACCTTATGAGTCTCTGTGACAGAATACAAGGCTGGATTGTGTTGAAGGCAGAAGAAAAGTCAACAAACAGAACCCTGACATGGGATTTGGCGCCCTCTAGATATATATAGACCATGTTGAGGTGAGTAAGAATGTCATCATCAGCTCTTCTGCTGGGCTGATAGGCAAACTGAAACGGGTCGAGGAGCTTCTGGGTGGTGCTGAGAATATTACTTTTCACAATTTTCTCAAAGCATTTCATTACTAAGGATGTCAAGGCGACAGGACAGTAGTCATTCAGCAAAGAGGGATTTGATGCTTTAGGAATGGGTATAATTATTGAGTTTTTCCACAATACTTGCATGTGTTGCTGGTAGAGCGAGGATTGGAAAATGTCTGTTAAAAACACCAGCTAATTGTTCAGCACAGTGCTTCAACACATGTCCACTTATTTTGTCTGGGCCTGGGCTTTTGTGTGCATTACATCCCCTGAACAACTTCAAAACATCAGCCTGTTTAACAACAACCCTCTCAAACATTTGTAATGATGCTTCCATTTGTCCTACCTCCTAGTACAGTCAAAACACCCTTGGAGACGAGTGATACTATTGTCGTTCCAGATCTGGACAGTTTTAACTGTAGGGTTCTCCCTCTCCAGGAGCCGACAGTAGATTGGACGGAGGTAGACAACATTGTGGTCTGATGTCCCCAGGGAAAGAGAAAGCATTTGGTATTGTCCCATAGCACAAATCAAGAGTCTTATTTTTCCTAGTGTGACATTTCACATACTGGTGGTACGTGCGCAGGACCTTGTGCAAAGTGCAGTTGTTAAAATCCCCTAAAATAAATGTGGGTGCATCAGGGGAGATGGATTCCAGTTTCTGTGACAGATTATAAATAATCTCTGATGCCTTTGTTACATTAGCTTTTGGTTGAATGTACACAACTGTAACAAACAATTGGGGGAACTCACAGGGCAGATAGTATGGTCGAAGTGAGACAGAAAGCAATTCAATGTCGGGTGTACAGGGTCTCTCTCTTACCAGGATCGATTTACCCCTGTGATGGTCAGATCACGGTCCGCTCTGACCAGTGTGAAGCCGGCCGGCTCCACTTCCACTTGTCATCCAGCCAAGTCTCAGTAAACGCCAGCAAACAGGCCTCCCGGTATTCATGTTGGAAGCGCAGATTAGCTGACAGCTCATTCGCTTTCTCCCAAGTGACTGGGGGTTGATCAGCAAGGTGGTGGGTAAGGGACATTTTATTGCATTTTCTAAGTCTGATTCCCATGTGTTTTCCACGTTTGCATTTGGGTTTGTAATCCACTCGCAGACAATCAGGGATTAGATGGGCCATTGGGATGTCCATCGCGTTCGTGTTTGAGTTGCATTGTAGTAGAAACTCTTTGCTGTATTGGATTCTGCTGCCAGCAGCGTTTTCATAACTTAGTCCTTTTGTAGCGGATGTACACGATCAACAAGATCAATCCAACACCCCACCACTGTAAAGCCATCGTTGACAGATGGTTTACAAACAAAGTGTAAAGTGCGGGATGCAACAGAGCTGTGCCCCCTATGACCAAGGCCCCCTTTGACCTTCATCACCAGATCAGACATAATTGTCATCATCATTCGCCCTCAGCCTCCTCTCCACTCCGCTCTGGCACATCTGACTCCCTCTCTGGGGCAGCTTGCCTATCGGGTCCCTACACAACACATACTGCTCCCAGATCTTCCGAAACGCATTCTGGAACTTCTTTATCCGGAATGCGTAGACAATGGGGTTCACAGCGGAATTGCCATGTGTGAGCAGGATGGCGATGTAGATGATTGACATGGACGTGTCACAGCAAAACAGCGTGATGCAGTTGAGGATGTGGAGAGGAAGCCAGCTGATGGCAAACAGGAAGAGGACCAGAGCCAATGACTTGGCTAGTTTCAGCTCCTTACCGTAGTAATGGCTGCGGTCTGTGTGGCTCGCCGACACCTTTGGTAGGAGGGAGGGAGAAGAGGATTTAGACTTTAGATTCAGAGGCTCTACATTTCTGTAATGCATACTTACACGTTCCCTCTTGTAAATTTTTTTGTTATTCTATTCTAAGTGTGTTTGATTTGCACAGCATCGTCTCCTGGGTGTTCATTATGCCTGTCTAAGCTATCATCCCTGAGGGGAATGACCTGTTACGCCAAAGGACAGACAATTTCAACACCCCTTTACCTCTCTTAATCTCCCTCCACCATTCTCTATCTCCCGCCACCTCTCTCGATCTCCCTCAACCTCCCTCTATCTCCCTCCACCTCTCTCTATCTCCCTCCATCACCTTCAATCTCTCTATCTCCCTCCACCTCCCTGCTCTGCTCATCAAATGCACCCGTTTCATTCTATTCCATTCATCTGACTCTAGTCTAGTCAGTGACCTTCATGTAACCTGGTCCCAGAACTTTTTGTGCGGTCTTGCCAACTCCTATGATCATTGTCAGGCCATGTGAGAATGACCATAGGAGTTGGCAAGATCAAGCTAACTTTGGCAAGACTAGATCAAGCTAACCTTGGCAAGACATTGGAAAGACTAGCTCAAGCTCACCTTGGCAAGACATTGGAAAGACTAGCTCAAGCTAACCTTGGCAAGACATTGGAAAGACTAGCTCAAGCTAACCTTGGCAAGACATTGGAAAGACTAGCTCAAGCTAACCTTGGCAAGACATTGTAAAGACTAGCTCAAGCTAACCTTGGCAAGACATTGGAAAGACTAGCTCAAGCTAACCTTGGCAAGACATTGGAAAGACTAGCTCAAGCTAACCTTGGCAAGACATTGGAAAGACTAGCTCAAGCTCACCTTGGCAAGACATTGGAAAGACTAGCTCAAGCTAACCTTGGCAAGACATTGGAAAGACTAGCTCAAGCTAACCTTGGCAAGACATTGGAAAGACTAGCTCAAGCTAACCTTGGCAAGACATTGGAAAGACTAGCTCAAGCTAACCTTGGCAAGACATTGGAAAGACTAGCTCAAGCTAACCTTGGCAAGACACTGGTAAAACTAGATCAGGCTAATGTTCTTACTGAGCTGGCATTGGATCATATAATACCTCAGCATAGATCATACTTGCACATACAGTAGAGACAATGCACATAGCTCATGGTAAAGAAGGTAGGGTTACTCTGTTCTAGTCATCTGATTCTCAAGACAGGTACTTTCTAGAACGTGTGCTACCTTCTTGTTGAGCTGGTGGTGTATCTTGTAGAAGATCTCAGCGTAGATTAGCAGCATGAGGACGAGGGGAGGCAGCACCCAGCCGAAGAAGTTGAAGTAGACCATGTAGTCCATGCTGATGACGTTCTCAAACCGACACATCACTAAGAGGTCATGGGTCACCAGGGAGTCGTTGTCACGGAGACTCAGCAGGTTGTTCCAGCCCAGCATGGGTGTCAGGCCAACCACTATGGCAACCATCCAGCACACCACCACCGCCGTGCCTGCGCGCCGCCGTGTCACCACATGCTTGTAGCTAAGACAAGAATGAGGGGTTAAAGTATACTGGTTTGGTGTGTGTGCGTGTGTGTATGGAGCAACAATTGTTGGAGATTTAGTGCATACTTTTCTGTGTTCCCTGTTTATATGTGGTCCCGTGTAGCTCAGTTGGTAGAGCATGGCGCTTGCCATGCCAGGGTTGTGGGTTCGATTCCCACAGGAGAAAAAATGTATGCACTCACTAACTGTAGTGTTGCTCTGGATAAGAGTGTCTGCTAAATGACTAAGATGTAAATATGCTTCCAACTGCTTTCTTTCTTGACTTTGAATCAATAGAAGACATTTGTGTCCTGCACTACAAATTGTTTTTGGAACAAGCCAACATCTGCAACTTGTCACAAATGTGGTTTTGTCATTCAATGAACAAACCCATGATAAAGTAAACCCAACATGCTCAACATCTTGGCTGGCTGACTTATATTCTGAAAATCACGTCTGTGATTGACTTGTATACACCGTGTTTTGCAATCCATGGTATAGTACTAGACTGTCTACTACCCTGTCATACTTCTGAATTACATTGAAGTTTGTAATACAAATCTGTGATTTCCTCCTTTTGAAAGTCATAGCTGAATAACTATACAAGAGGAGTGAACTGATGTGTTCTGCACACACACCAGAGGAGATGAGGTAAGGCCGTGGACTATTCATTTTAGGTGAGTGTGTGTCTGCTGAAGGAGCTGCTCTACTGAGGCGTGAAAGTAGAACTCACCCTCAGACGATGAGTAAATAATCTCAAGAGACACCTAAATGTACCCACAAATTCTCTCTCTCTCTCTCTCTCTCTCTCTCTCTCTCTCTCTCTCTCTCTCTCTCTCTCTCTCTCTCTCTCTCTCTCTCTCTCTCTCTCTCTCTCTCTCTCTCTCTCTCTCTCTCGCTCTCTCTCTCTCTCTCTCTCTTTGTCTCTATTCAATTGCTTTATTGGCATGACGTAACAATGTACATATTGCCAAAGAGTACTTTGGAAATTAAGTAATTAATTTACAATATTAACATCATTAAAATAATAATAATCAAGATTGTCAGCAGGACAATCAGTAACAACAATAAAAACAAAAGCAACATTGAGTTTAATCGTTAAACAACAGTTTGCCTATGTTTTTCTCTCCATTGAGTAGCCTATAGAAAAGTAGTCTCTTTGAATTTGTAGTCTCGCTCAACCCTCCCAGTTTTCCCACTACATTTCATATACAGGTTCTGTAGCCAAGGTAGCCAAGTCTTCCTCTTTTCCTCAGAGAAAACGGCTTGATTCTAGCCCGGCTAGCATGGCTACCGTTCAAAAGACATGACCCATAACACCAGAGCTATGTTTTTTCTCTCTATCGTGCATTGGCAGGCCGCATTTTACATTCATAAAGTATATAGCGGACCGTTCTAAAACTAGGCTACATGCGGACCGGACCATTAACCATTTGTTTAGGCTACACCTTCTTCAGTAATGTTACCTCATTAGCGCGTTCAGCAGTATGCAACGTTTTGAAACGTTCAGATAGAAAATGCTATGTAGAACAATCATGGCTCTCTGACATACTGAATAAGGAATAACGTCGGCCTCAAAATGTACATGGCAAAGTATGCGAGTCCGGATAAAATTAACAAACTTGCAAAAAGGGAAAGACGTAGGAGGACTATCCGTACCAAACTTTAAATTGTATTTCCAGGCACTAGCATTTCGTCCCATCCTAAATTGGTTTAGACATGATTCTTCTGCCCCCTGGCTGAGTATGGAGAGAAATATGGTGTCTCCTATTGCCCTGGGATAGGTGGTCTTCACTGATATATACCCTTAAACAATGTAAACTATGCTTTGGTCCTATTTTCGAAATTGAAAAACAATGTAACTGGGAATCAAAATGGCATGCCCATACTCCAATATTTCAGAATAATTATGTGCGATCTGGAGGGCAGCCTTTTGCATTCCCCCAATGGTCCAAATGTGGAATCCGTACCCTTGCCGATATCATGGGAACATTCCAAGATTTGAATGACACATACACATTACCAGGCAACTCCTTTTTTCTATATTTACAACTAAGGTTAGCTATGCTGGCCTATAGAGTCCCTTGGGAAACCCAACTACCAAACCAGCCGATGAAGAGATTTATAAATACATTATCTGGGCTCCCGAAAGGACTGATCTCTATAATATATAAACAACTTTTGGAAAGCTCATATTCTGAGCTAGCCATTAAACAAATATGATCCACAGATCTAAATGAATCTGAACAACCCTTTAAGTGAAACAGAATATGGAAAAATATGACCTAGGCATCCCGTTATCCGAACCATCAACTTATACATTTTAAGTTTGTTCACAGACTGTATTTAACACCAAGGAAATGTTTTAGGATGAAATTGTCCCCAACTCCTCACTGTGTCCCCTAAATCAGGTAGGCACATTCCTTCATATGATGTGGGAGTGCCCTGCAGTTAATTGCTTCTGGGGCAAAGTTACTAAATTCATTTTGAAGTACATTATTGTAAATATTCAATGCATTGCATCTGCTATGTTACTTAACTATGATAGCTCCTTGAATCTCTCAATCAATCAGAGAGACGACTACTACTGACAGGCAGCACTGGTGCAAAAAACATGTTGGCTCTTAGATGGCAATCACCCCACTCTCTCCCAATCCGCCAGTGGATATGGTTACTATTAGAATTATCGACAGCGAGAATGAATGGTGCTAGTCAAGGAACAATTGAGGCCTGGACAAATATACTTGACTCTAAAGAATAATCTCAGCTAAAGCCCAACACATACAAATAAACAACATATATACACTGAACAAAAATATAAACGCAACATGTAAAGTGTTGGTCCCATGTTTCATGAGTTGAAATGAAAGATCCCAGAAATTTTCCATAGACACAAAAAGCTTATTTCTCTAAAATTCTGTGCACAAATTGGTTTACATCCCTGTTAGTGAGCATTTCTCTTTTGCCAAGATAATCCATCCACCTGACAGGTGTGGTATAACAAGAAGCTGATTAAACAGCATGATCATTACACAGGTGCGTCTTGTGCTGGGGACAATAAAAGGCTACTCAAAAATGTGCCGTTTTGTCACTGATGTCTCAAGTTTTGAGGGAGAGTGCAATTGGCATGCTGACTGTAGGAATGTCCATAAACCTCCAATGTTGTTTTAGAGAATTTGGCAGTACGTCCATCCGGCCTCATAACCGCAAACCACGTGTAACAAAGCAAGCCCAGGACCCCCACATCCAGCTTCTTCACCTGCGGGATCGTCTGAGACCAGCCACCCGGACAGCTGATGAAACTGTGGGTTTGCACAACTGAAGAATTTCTGCACAACCTGTCAGAAACCATCCCAGGGAAGCTCATTTGCGTGCTCTTCGTCCTCACCAAGGTCTTGACCTGACTGCCGATCGGCATCATAACCAACTTCAGTGGACAAATGCTCACCTTCGATGGCCACTGGCATGCTGGAGAAGTGTGCTCTTCATGGATGAATCCCAGTTTCAACTGTACCGGGCAGATGGCAGAGAGTGTGTGCGGTGTCGTGTGGGTGAGCGGTTTGCTGATGTCAACATTGAGAACAGAGTGCCCCACGGTGGCGGTGGGGTTATGGTATGGGCAGGCATAATCTACGGACAACGAACACAATTGCATTTTATTGATGGCAATTTGAATGTACAGAGATACCGTGACAAGATCCCGAGGCCCATTCTCGTGCCATTCATCCACCACCATCACCTCATGTTTCAGCATGATAATGCACGGCCCCATGTCGCAAGGATCTGTACACAATTCCTGGAAGCTGAAAATGTCCCAGTTCTTCCATGGCCTCCATACTCACCAGACATGTCACCCATTGAGCATGTTTTGATTGCCGCTCAGCCCAGTCAAAACTGTTCGCTGCTCTGGCACCCCAATGGTGGAACAAGCTCCCTCACGACGCCAGGACAGCGGAGTCACTCACCACCTTCCGGAGACATTTGAAACCCCACCTCTTTAAGGAATACCTGGGATAGGATAAAGTAATCCTTCTACCCCCCCCCCCCCAAAAAAAATAATACAAATAATAATAATAATAATAATAATAATAATAATAATAATAATAATAATAATAATAATAAATAATAAAAAATATATATATATAAAATATAAAAAAATTGTAAAGTGGTTATCCCACTGGCTATAAGGTGAATGCACCTATTTGTAAGTCGCTCTGGATAAGAGCGTCTGCTAAATGACGTAAATGTAATGTAAATGATTGCTCTGGATCGACGTGTACGACAGCGTGTTCCAGTTCTTGCCAATATCCAGCAACTTCGCAAAGCCATTGAAGAGGAGTGGGACAACATTCCACAGGCCACAATCAACAGCCTGAACAACTCTATGTGAAGGAGATGTGTCTCGCTGCATGAGGCAAATGGTGGTCACACCAGATACTGACTGGTTTTCTGATCCACGGCCCTAACATTTTTTAAAGGTATCTGTGACCAGCAGATAGGTATCTTTATTCCCAGTCATGTGAAATTCATAGATTAGGGACTAATTTATTTATTTCAATTGACTGATTTCCTTATATGAACTGTAACTCAGTAAAATCTTTGAAATTGTGTATATATACACTACCGTTCAAAAGTTTGGGGTCACATAGAAATGTCCTTGTTTTCAATGAAAACATACATGAAATTAGTTTGAATGGGAAATATAGCAAAATGAATAGGAAATGTAGTCATTGACAAGGTTAGAAATAATGATTTTTAATTAAAATAATAATTGTGTCCTTTCGTCAAAGAATCCTCCATTTGCAGCAATTACAGCCTTGCAGACCTTTGGCATTCTAGTTGTCAATTTGTTGAGGTAATATGAAGAGATTTCACCCCATGCTTCATGAAGCACCTCCCACAAGTTGGATTGGCTTGATGGGTACTTCTTACATACCATACGGTCAAGCTGCTCCCACAACAGCTCAAATTGAGATCTGGTGACTGTGCTGGCCTCTCCATTATAGACAGAATACCAGCTGACTGCTTCTTCCCTAAATAGTTCTTGCATAGTTTGGAGCTGTGCTTTGGGTCATTGTCCTGTTGTAGGAGGAAATTGACTCCAATCAAGCGCCGTCCACAGGGTATGGCATGGCGTTGCAAAATGGAATGAAGCCTTCCTTCTTCAAGATCCCTTTTACCCTGTACAAATCTCCCACTTTACCACTACCAAAGCACCCCCAGACCATCACATTGCCTCCACCATGCTTTTCATTTGGTCTGCGTCTCACAAATGTTCTTCTTTGTGATCCGAACACCTCAAACTTCGATTCGTCTGTCCATAACACTTTTTTTCCAATCTTCCTCTGTCCTGTGTCTGTGTTCTTTTTCCCATCTTTAATATTTTATTTTTATTGGCCAGTCTGAGATATGGCTTTTACTTTGCAACTCTGCCTAGAAGGTCAGCATCCCGGAGTCGCCTCTTCACTGTTGACGTTGAGACTGGTGTTTTGCGGGTACTATTTAATGAAGCTGCCAGTTGAGGACCTGTGAGGCGTCTGTTTCTCAAACTAAACACTCTAACGTATTTGTCCTCTTGCTCAGTTGTGCACCGGGGCCTCCCACTCCTCTTTCTATTCTGGTTAGAGCAAGTTTGCGCTGTTCTGTGAAGGGAGTAGTACACAGCGTTGTACGAGATCTTCAGTTTCTTGGCAATGTCTCGCATGGAATAGCCTTCATTTCTCAGAACAAGAATAGACTGACGAGTTTCAGATGAAAGTTATTTGTTTCTGGCTATTTTGATCCTGTAATCGAACCCACAATTGCTGATGCTCCAGATACTCAACTAGTCTCAAGAAGGCCAGTTTTATTGTTTCTTTAATCAGCACAACAGTTTTCAGCTGTGCTAACATAATTGCAAAAGGGTTTTCTAATGATCAATTAGCCTTTTAAAATGATAAACTTGGATTAGCAAACACAACGTCCCATTGGAACACAGGACTGATGGTTGCTAATAATGGGCCTCTGTACGCCTATGTAGATATTCCATTAAAAATCTACAGCTACAATAGCCATTTACAACATTAACAATGTCTACACTGTATTTCTGACCAATTTGATGTTATTTTAATGGACCAAAAAATATTTTGAAAACAAGGACATTTCTAAGTGACCCCAAACCTTTGAACGGTAGTATATATATATACAGTGAGGGGAAAAAGTATTTGATCCCCTGCTGATTTTGTACGTTTGCCCACTGACAAAGACATGATCAATCTATCATTTTAATGGTAGGTTTATTTGAACAGTGAGAGACAGAATAACAACAAAAAAATCCAGAAAAATGCATGTCAAAAATGTTATAAATTGATTTGCATTTTAATGAAGGAAATAAATATTTGACCACTCTGCAAAACATGACTTAGTACTTGGTGACAAAACCCTTGTTGGCAATCACAGAGGTCAGACGCTACTTGTAGTTGGCCACCAGGTTTGCACACATCTCAGGAGGGATTTTGTTCCACACCTCTTCGCAGATCTTCTCCAAGTCATTAAGGTTTTGAGGCTGACGTTTGGCAACTCGAACCTTCAGCTCCCTCCACAGATGTTCTATGGGATTAAGGTCTGGAGACTGGCTAGGCCACTCCAGGACCTTAATGTGCTTCTTCTTGAGCCACTCCTTTGTTGCCTTGGCCGTGTGTTTTGGGTGATTGTCATGCTGGAATACCCATCCACGACCCATTTTCAATGCCCTGGCTGAGGGAAGGAGGTTCTCACCCAAGATTTGACGGTACATGGCCCCGTCCATCTTCCCTTCAGTGCGGTGAAGTTGTCCTGTCCCCTTAGCAGAAAAACACCCCTTGGATAAAAGCGTCTGCTAAATGGCATATTAAAAGCATAATGTTTCCACCTCCATGTTTGTCGGTGGGGATGGTGTTCTTGGGGTCATAGGCAGCATTCCTCCTCCTCTAAACACGGCGAGTTGAGTTGATGCCAAAGAGCTCGATTTTGGTCTCATCTGACCACAACACTTTCACCCAGTTCTCCTCTGAATCATTCAGATGTTCATTGGCAAACTTCAGACGGCCCTGTATATGTGCTTTCTTGAGCAGGGGGACCTTGCGGGCACTGCAGGATTTCAGTCCTTCACGGCGTAGTGTGTTACCAATTGTTTTCTTGGTGACTATGGTCCCAGCTGCCTTGAGATCATTGACAAGATCCTCCCGTGTAGTTCTGGGTTGATTCCTCACCGTTCTCACATCATTGCAACTCCACGAGGTGAGATCTTGCATGGAGCCCCAGGCCGAGGGAGATTGACAGTTCTTTTGTGTTTCTTCCATTTGCGAATAATCGCACCAACTGTTGTCACCTTCTCACCAAGCTGCTGCCGATGGTCTTGTAGCCCATTCCAGCCTTGTGTAGGTCTACAATCTTGTCCCTGACATCCTTGGAGAGCTCTTTGGTCTTGTCCATGGTGGAGAGTTTGGAATCTGATTGATTGATTGCTTCTGTGGACAGGTGTCTTTTATACAGGCAACAAGCTGAGATTGGGAGCACTCCCTTTAAGAGTGTGCTCCTAATCTCAGCTCGTTACCTGTATAAAAGACACCTGGGAGCCAGAAATCTTTCTGATTGAGAGGGGTTCAAATACTTATTTCCCTCATTAAAATGCAAATCAATTTATAACATTTTGACATGCGTTTTTCTGGATTTTTTTGTTGTTATTCTGTCTCTCACTGTTCAATTAAACCAGTCAAAAGTTTGGACACACCTATTCATTCTAGGGTTTTTCTTTATTTGAACTATTTTCTACAATATAGAATAATAGTGAAGACATCAAAACTATGAAATAACACATATGGAATCATGTAGTAACCAAAAAAGTGTTAAACAAATAAAAAAATATGTTATTTTATTTTCTTCAAAGTAGCCACCCTTTGCCTTGATGACAGCTTTGCACACTCTTGGCATTCTCTCAACCAGCTTCATGAGGTAGTCACCTGGAATGTATTTCAATTAACAGGTGTGCCTTGGTAAAAGTTAATTTGTGGAATTTATTTCCTTCTTAATGCGTTTGAGCCAATCAGTTGTGTTGTGACAAGGTAGGGGTGGTATACAGACGATAGCCCTATTTGTTAAAAGACCAAGTCCATATTAAGGCAAGAACAGCTCAAATAAGCAAAGAGGAATGACAGTCCATCATTACTTTAAGACATGAAGGTCAGTCAATCCGGAAAATGTCAAGAACTTTGAAAGTTTCTTCAAGTGCAGTCGCAAAAACCATAAAGCGCTATGATGATGAAAACTGATGATGATGAAACAGGCTCTCATGAGGATCGCCACAGGAAAGGAAGACCAGAATTACCGCTGCTGCAGACGATAAGTTAATTAGAGTTAACTGCACCTCAGATTGCAGCCCAAATACATTTTTCACAAAGTTCAAGTAACAGACACATCTCAACATCAACTGTTCAGAGGAGACTGAGTGAATCAGGCCTTCATGGTCGAATTGCTGCAAAGAAACCACTACTAAAGGACACCAATAAGAAGAAGAGACTTGCTTTGGCCAAGAAACACGAGCAATGGACATTAGACCGGTGGAAATCTGTCCTTTGGTCTGATGTCCAAATTTTTGGTTCCAACTGCTGTGTCTTTGTGAGACGCAGAGTAGGTGAACAGAGAATCTCTGCATGTGTGCTTCCCACCATGAATCATGGAGGAAGAGGTGTGATGGTGTGGGGGTGCTTTGCTGGTGACACTGTATGTGATTTATTCAAAGCACACTTAACCAGCATGGCTACCACAGCATTCTGCAGCGATACGCCATCCCATCTGGTCTGCGCTTAGTGGGACTATCAGTTGTTTTTCAACAGGACAATGACCCAAAACACACCTCCAGGCTGTGTAAGGGCTATTTGACCAAGAAGGAGAGCGATGGAGTGCTGCATCAGATGAGCTGGCCTCCACAATCACCTGATCTCAACCCAATTAAGATGGTTTGGAATGAGTTGGACCGCAGAGTGAAGGAAAAGCAGCCAACAATTCCCACAGTAGTCCTGGGGTCACTGAAGCCAGGAGAGGTGTGAAGACTGATGAAACTCGAATCGATTAAATGTTACTGTGTGAATTAAATTGTCATGTTTGAATTGTTTCAAGAGTTCATAAAGAGCTATGAATTTTGATATGTTTCTTGTACTGTAAGTGCTATTTATTGTTACTGAGAAACTGTGTTCTGTTCGTCGGACGGTGGATAGTTGAAAGAGGAGCAACACAGGGGTGTGCTCTTATCATACAGTGTTGAGGTGTGGTGATTAGATCCAATAATTTGTGTGTTGTTTTCATGCCTTCGTTTTAATGTTTTAGGCCATGAAAAGTGATGTTAATTAGATAGGAGATACTGGGAGTTGGCGTTCTTGGAAGAATTAAAGCTGGGTTAAAACTTTGATCATGGAGTCATTGGTTTACCAATCTCCTGATGTATGTTTGTATGTCATAGTGGTGAATTATTACATATTTTGTATTCTTTTTATCTTGAAGATTTCTGGTGTGTACCACTTGTTAATTGTATTCTTATTGTGTAACTGTAATACATCTGATTACTTTTAAATGGATATGAACCGTAGTCCATATTTCTGAGTAATATTGCTATAATTATTATTTGGTGAAATGTCTAATGGTAAATGTTATTCACAATACACAGCATATATGCTTGGTCTCTAACTGTGCATCTCCGAGCTAAGGTTAACTCAATAATTGTATGCTAAGACATCGATTACAAGATATTAGCTCCTTGTTCCTCAGCCTCTTAATAATTGCATAACGGTAAACCTAGACACATGCATCTTATAGTATTCCGAGTGGTGACGCAACCTTGGCTATACCCTCTGAATACGATTATTGGCCTATAGTGTTAACATGATAATGGAGTCAGATTGATAAATGTAGTTTATTATTATTCAACATAATTTCTATATAATAATGGATTTGAATTTCCACCAACTACAAAACCCAGCAGAGTTGCAGTTCTTGACAAAAACCAGTACGCTTGGCACTTTACCACCATACCCCGTTCAAAGGCACTTAAACATTTCGTTTTGCCCATTCACACTCTGAATGGCACACACACACAATCCATGTCTCAATTGTCTCAATGCTTAAAAATCATTATTTAACCTGTCTCCTCCCCTTCATCTACACTGATTGAAGTGGATTAAACAAGTGACATCAATAAGGGATATTAGCTTTCACCTGGATTCACCTGGTCAGTCTATGTCATGGAAAGAGCAGGTGTTCATAATGTTTTGTACACTCAGTGTATATATACTTTTTCTACATTTTGTTACGTTACAGCCTTATTCTAAAATAGATTAAATGAAAACTGTCCTCATCAATTTACACACAATACCCCATAATGACAAAGCGAAAACAGGTTTTTATTACAAGTTAAAAACAGAAATACCTTATTTACATAAGTATTCAGAACCTTTGCTATGAAACTCGAAATTGTGTTTCCATTGATCATCCTTGAGATGTTTCTACAACTTTATTGGAGTCCACCTGTGATACATTTATTTGATTGGACATGATTTGGAAAGGCACACACCTGTCTATATAAGGTCCCACTGTTAACAGTGCATGTAAGTGCAAAGACCAAGCCATGAGATCGAAGGAATTGTCCGTAGATCCTGGGACAGGATTGTGTCGGGCACAGATCTGGGGAAGGGTACCAAAAAATGTCTGCAGCATTGAAGGTCCCCAAGAACACAGTGGCCTCCATCATTCTTAAATGGAAGAAGTTTGGAACCACCAAGACTCTTTCTAGAGCTGGCCGCCCGGCCAAACAGAGCAATCGGGGGAGAAGGGCCTTGGTCAAGGACACTCCCCATCCAACCTGACAGAGCTTGAGAGGCTCTGTAGAGAAGAATGGGAGAAAGTCCCCAAATACAGGTGTGCCAAGCTTGTAGCCTCACACCCAAGAAGACTCAAGGCTGTAATCGCTGCCAAAGGTGCTTCAACAAAGTACTGAGTAAAGGGTCTGAATACTTATGTAAATGTAATATTTCAGTTTTAAAGATTTGCAACAATTTCTAAAAACTTGTGTTTGCTTTGTCATTATGGGGTATTGTGTGTAGACTGATGAGGGGAAAAAACTATTTAATCAATTTTAGAATAAGGCTGTAACGTAACAAAATGTGGAACAAGTCAATGGGTCTGAATATTTTCAGAATGCACTGTATAGTGAGCTCCAAAAGTATTGGGACAGTGACAATTTTGTTGTTGTTTTGGCTCTGTACTCCAGCACTTTACATCAAGCTTTTGACTCTACAAACTTGTTGGATGCATTTGCTGTTTGTTTTGGTTGTGTTTCAGATTATTTTCTGCCCAATAGAAATGAATGTCAAATAATGTATTGTGACATTTTGGAGTCACTTTTATTGTAAATAAGAATATAATATGTTTCTAAATACTTCTACGTTAATGTGGATGCTACCATGATTACGGATAGTTCTGAATGAATCATGAATAATGATGAGTGACAAAGTTAGACACACAGATATCATACCCCCAAGACATGCTAACCTCTCACCATTACAATAACAGGGGAGGTTAGCATTTATTTTATTTTATTATTATTTTTTTTTGGGGGGGGGGGGGGGGGGGGGGTAGGATATCTGTGCATCTGTAACTTTCTCACTCATCATTATTCTAAAGGTTATCTTCCTATTAACTTCCAGTGTAGTGATAGCAGCTTTATCACAATGCTACGTCATACCAGCTGCATTTATGCCTGCGTGAACGGCAAGAGCGCAGATACACATGAAAACATGAAATGACCCTGGGAATCAATAGAACATCGCTCAGAGATACCCAAAAACAATATAACATTCAAAATGGGTGAATGTTAAGTGTACACTAAGTGTCCAGTAAGTCAACGTTGCAGTCATTCGCAGAGAACAGTCTGGTAACTTTTGTTGACTAATTGCATCCTTTCACTATCAACTTTGAGTTGCGTCTCAAATGGCACCCTATTCCCTATATAGTGTATTACTTTTGACTCGAGCCCATAAGGAACAGGTTGCCCATTGGTACGCACCCTATGCCAGATTAAGAGGCCCGGGCAGGGTGGCAGCCTGAGACATATTCAGATCAGCCAACCAACCACAATGATCACATGGATCAACCATGCATTCTCTGTAACTGCAGTCGATGAATGGTAAATTAACTGTAGCTCCCTTTTTACAGGCAAATCACGATTTAGGCCTCTCAAATGCTTTAGTTGTTTGGATAGGGATAACGCAGCCTATTATTGGTGGTTTTAGAAATGACAATCTATACTGACTATATACCAATATGCTGATGCGCTTGTCTGCTCTATAATTTCCAGAGAATATCTCCTCATCCAAATAATATCATATCTAAGGCCACCTCATCATCCAGGTTCCTGTCTTCATGCCCATGTATTTGAATGGGTATCTTATACCAATGTTTCTGTCACCAGACAGTTCATCAAAGTATTCTGGAGTGAACAATAATTAAATTTACATTTTACATTTTAGTCATTTAGCAGATGCTCTTATCCAGAGCGACTTACAGTTAGTGAGTGCATACATTGGCCCCCCGTGGGAATCGAACCCTGGCGTTGCAAACGCCATGCTCTACCAACTGAGCTACATCCCTGCCGGCCATTCCCTCCCCTACCCTGGACGACGCTGGGCCAATTGTGCGCCGCCCCATGGGTCTCCCGGTCGCGGCCGGCTACGACAGAGCCTGGATTCGAACCAGGATCTCTAGTGGCATAGCTACTCGGGAGGGGTGTTTTCTCTAGCAGATCTCTATCATATAGATTTTCACATATTGTAAGAAATATGAGAGCTTTAGAGATATTTTCAGTTTATATTTTCTGTACTATTGGTCATTTGGTAATCAACCCTTATCCTGTGTGCACTAATGGTCAATGCTCAGTGCTCTGTGAAAGTGTAGCTTTGGAAAACAATTGTCTTGATTCCAGGGTCTGAGTTATCGCTCGTTCAAAGTGCACAACGTGTTTCATCTCCCCCGAACGCAGCGAACCAACTAAGAAAACAACTTTCCCCCACTTTTTCCTCTATTGAATCTTCCTTGTTATTCAAAGAAACCTCCTCAGTTAGTTTGACGATTTCAAATTGTTAGGTTCCAACTTGAAATATTGAAATATCCTTATTTATGTTACCATGTTAGAACTGGGTGTATGGAAATCTACTGAGTGCAGAAAGTTTACATTCTGTCAGAACATGTCATTGTTAAATCTCATGTATCCTATGGAGAGGAGAAGGGCAATGGTCTGGTTTCAGTCACAGATAAGGTAGGACAGCCGTGAATTAGGGAGGAGTGAGGAATTTGGGCAGAGGTCAGGTCAGATGAAGTGAGAAAGAACCATCACCATAAAGTCCTGCCTAGCAACAGAGATGTATTGGCTGTCCAGATGTGCAAGGAGGAGACACCGCATAGAAGGAGGGTATAAATATATGTGCTTGTGTAAACTGTTTGACCCAGTGGGTGAATAAACTTGGTTTGAGCTTTGACTAGTTGTCCGTTAGTTTTTGACTCTGTTTGTCAGAACCTAACAAAACCTATCAAAGTCCCTGAGTTGATTTGGGTGGATTTGGTCATGCCATTCTGAACATTCACACTGTACATCTACCTAAGTCAATATGTAGCAGCTCATTGTAACTGGAATATATCATGATTTCCTTCTACACAAACTCCATGTGCTATTGGACATGTGTGTGTCGGGTATGTGAGGGGCCCGGTTGGTCAACACATGGAGAGCTTTACAGTCTCACTAGGAGAGCATACCTCATAGCTGGTGTGGAATTCAAATAGAGCAGGTCTGCTACACACATCTCATCTTGACTATGGACTTGACCCCAACTGATACTGGCTATGTACTGAACACAACACTGTCTGTCTGCAGTCTGTTGTGGTTGGGCACTATCAGTTGTAGATGAATTAATTCCATATTTGATATACAATGTGATATAAAATACAGTTAAGCAACATCATATTGATATGGTAGCTAGGTGTTCTGTATCTGTCCTGTTGGCTGTCTGTGTCTGAAAGCTGTCAGATTTTCGCTGTCTGTGGGTGATTTGTTAGAGCGAGAGGGATAACTGGGCCCCAAATCTGTTTTCTCCAGCCGGTGGCTTTTATTGTTTTTTCACTCACCTAGCGAGGAGTGTTTGTATGGAGATCAATGAGAAGAGCGTTGAATTTGAATTTTCTACATGTGGCTTATTTGATTGAATACGTGTTCCAAAATGCTTAGGTTGTTACAAGTGTACTGATATAAGTGGGACAGGTGACATCCCTGCAACTTTGAGAAAAAACACTTTATATCATTGGCTAGAATGGTCCCACCTGATCTTGCCTTCTCCAGACTGATTTATTTTCATTTTTAGAGCAGCCACTTGAGTATCTGGTCAATATAATGGATAATCTGTGATACACATTGACAACCTGCGATTTGCATGTACAGTTGAAGTTGGAAGTTTACATTCATCTTAGCCAAATACATTTAAACTCAGTTTTTCACAATTCCAGCCATTTAATCCTAGTAAAAATTCCCTGTCTTAGGTCAGTTACGATCACCACTTTATTTTAAGAATGTGAAATGTCAGAATAATAGTACAGAGAATGATTTAGTTCAGCTTTTATTTCTTTCATCACATTCCCAGTGGGTCAGAAGTTTACATTCACTCAATTAGTATTTGGTAGCATTGCCTTTAAATTGTTTAACTTGGGTCAAACGTTTCGGGTAGCCTTCCACAAGCTTCCCACAATAAATTGTGTGAATTTTGGCCCATTCCTCCTGACAGAGCTGGTGTAACTGAGTCAGGTTTGTAGGCCTCCTTGCTCGCACACACTTTTTCAGTTCTGCCCACACATTTCCTATAGGATTGAGGTCAGGGCTTTGTGATGGCCACTCCAATACCTTGACTTTGTTGTCCTTAAGCCATTTTGCCACAACTTTGGAAGTATGCTTGGGGTCATCGTCCTTTTGGAAGACCCATTTGTGACCAAGCTTTAACTTCCTGACTGATGTCTTGAGATGTTGCTTCAATATATCCACATAATTTTACTTCCTCATGATGCCATCTATTTTGTGAAGTGCACCAGTCCCTCCTGCAGCAAATCACCCCCACAGCATGATGCTGCCACCCCCGTGCTTCACGGTTGGGATGGTGTTCTTCGGCTTGCAAGGTACCCCCTTTTTCCTCCAAACCTAACGATGGTCATTATGGCCAAACAGTTCTATTTTTGTTTCATCAGACCAGAGGACATTTCTCCAAAAAGAACGATCTTTGTCCCCATGTGCAGTTGCAAACCGTAGTCTGGCTTTTTTATGGCAGTTTTGGAGCAGTGACTTCTTCCTTGCTGAGCGGCCTTTCAGGTTATGTCAATATAGGACTTGTTTTACTGTGGATATAGATAATTTTGTACCTGTTTCCTCCAGCATCTTCACAAGGTCCTTTGCTGTTGTTCTGGGATTGATTTGCACTTTTCGCACCAAAGTATGTTCATCTCTAGGAGACAGAACGCGTCTCCATCCTGAGTGGTATGATGGCTGCATGGTCCCATGGTGTTTATACTTGCGTACTATTGTTTGTACAGATGAACGTGGTACTTTCAGGTGTTTGGAAATTGCTCCCAAGAATGAACCAGACTTATTTCTTTTGATTTTCCCATGATGTCAAGCAAAGAGGCACTGAGTTTGAAGGTATGCCTTGAAATACATCCTCAGGTACACCTCCAATTGACACAAATGATGTCAATTAGCCTTTCAGAAGCTTCTAAAGCCATGACATCATTTTCTGGAATTTTCCAAGCTGTTTAAAGGCACAGTCAACTTAGTGTATGTAAACTTCTGACCCACTGGAATTGTGATACAGTGAATTATAAGTGAAATAATCTGTCTGTAAACAATTGTTGGAAAAATTACTTGTGTCATGCACAAAGTAGATGTCCTAACCGACTTGCCAAAACTACAGTTTGTTAACAAGATATTTGTGGAGTGGTTGAAAAACAGGTTTTAATGACTCCAACCTAAGTGTATGTAAACGTAAATGTAAATGTAACTTCCGACTTCAACTGTAGCTCTGTCTAAGAGCTGATTGTGGGAGATTCTCGTTTGGGCAAAAGACTGTCCTCCATTCTCTCTCCTCCATAACCCGGAAACCGATAAGTGGTCAAGGAGTGTCAATTAGTTAGTAGGCAAAAGGAAGTGTCCTCCCCTCCTCGATAGCCCAAAGATGTCAAAAATCTCAGCTTGTTACCCGTATAAAAGACACCTGTCCACAGAAGCAATCAATCAATCCGATTCCAAACTCTCCACCATGGCCAAGACCAAAGAGCTCTCCAAGGATGTCAGGGACAAGATTGTAGACCTACACAAGGCTGGAATGGGCTACAAGACCATCGCCAAGCAGCTTGGTGAGAAGGTGACAACAGTTGGTGCGATTACTCACAATAGGAAGAAACACAAAATAACTGTCAATCTCCCTTGGCCTGGGGCTCCATGCAAGATCTCACCTCGTGGAGTTGCAATGATCATGAGAACGGTGAGGAATCAGCCCAAAACTACACGGGAGGATCTTGTCAAATCTCAAGGCAGCTGGGACCATAGTCACCAAGAAAACAATTGGTAACACACTACGCCGTGAAGGACTGAAATCCTGCAGCGCCCGCAAGGTCCCCCTGCTCAAGAAAGTATTTGATACACTGTCGATTTTGCAGGTTTTCCTACTTACAAAGCATGTAGAGGTCTGTAATTTTTATCATAGGTACACTTCAACTGCAAGAGACGGAATCTAAAACAAAAATGCAGAAAATCACATTGTATGATTTTTAAGTAATTAATTTTAACATTTTATTGCATGACATAAGTATTTGATCACCTACCAACCAGTAAGAATTCCGGCTCTCACAGACCTGTTAGTTTTTCTTTAAGAAGCCCTCCTGTTCTCCACTCATTACCTGTATTAACTGCACCTGTTTGAACTCGTTACCTGTATAAAAGACACCTGTCCACACACTCAATCAAACAGACTCCAACCTCTCCACAATGGCCAAGACCAGAGAGCTGTGTAAGGACATCAGGGATAAAATTGTAGACCTGCACAAGGCTGGGATGGTCTACAGGACAATAGGCAAGCAGTTTTGTGAGAAGGCAACAACTGTTGGCGCAATTATTAGAAAATGGAAGAAGTTCAAGATGACGGTCAATCACCCTCGGTCTGGGGCTCCATGCAAGATCTCACCTCGTGGGGCATCAATGATCATGAGGAAGGTGAGGGATCAGCCCAGAACTACACGGCAGGACCTGGGCAATGACCTAAAGAGAGCTGGGACCACAGTCTCAAAGAAAACAATTAGTAACACACTATGCCGTCATGGATTAAAATCCTGCAGTGCATGCAAGGTCCCCCTGCTCAAGTGTCCAGGCCCGTCTGAAGTTTGCCAATGACCATCTGGATGATCAAGAGGAGGAATGGGAGAAGGTCATCTGGTCTGTTGAGACAAAAATAGAGCTTTTTGGTCTAAACTCCACTCGCCGTGTTTGGAGGAAGAAGAAGGATGAGTACAACCCCAAGAACACCATCCCAACCGTGAAGCATGGAGGTGGAAACATCATTCTTTGGGGATGCTTTTCTGCAAAGGGGACAGGACGACTGCACCGTATTGAGGGGAGGATGGATGGGGCCATGTATCGCGTGATCTTGGCCAACAACCTCCTTCCCTCAGTAAGAGCATTGAAGATGGGTTGTGGCTGGGTCTTCCAGCATGACAATGACCTGAAACACTCAGCCAGGGCAACTAAAGAGTGGCTCCGTAAGAAGCATCTCAAGGTCCTGGAGTGGCCTAGCCAGTCTCCAGACCTGAACCCAATAGAAAATCTTTGGAGGGAGCTGAAAGTCCGTATTGCCCAGCGACAGCCCCGAAACCTGAAGTATCTGGAGAAGGTCTGTATGGAGGAGTGGGCCAAAATCCCTGCTGCAGTGTGTGCAAACCTGGTCAAGACCTACAGGAAACGTATGATCTCTGTCATTGCAAACAAAGGTTTCTGTACCAAATATTAAGTTCTGCTTTTCTGATGTATCAAATACTTTGCAAATTTGCAATAAAATGCAAATTAATTACTTAAAATTCATACAATGTGATTTTCTGGATTTTTGTTTTAGATTCCCTCTCACAGTTGAAGTTTACCTATGATAAAAATTACAGACCTCTACATGCTTTGTGAGTAGGAAAACCTGCAAAATCGGCAGAGTATCAAATACTTGTTCTCCCCACTGTACATGCCCGTCTGAAGTTTGCCAATGAACATCTGAATGATTCAGAGAACTGGGTGAAAGTGTTGTGGTCAGATGAGACCAAAATCGAGCTCTTTGGCATCAACTCAACTCGCCGTGTTTGGAGGAGGAGGAATGCTGCCTATGACCCCAAGAACATCATCCCCACCGTCAAACATGGAGGTGGAAACATTATGCTTTGGGGGGTGTTTTTCTGCTAAGGGGACAGGACAGCTTCACCTCAGCCAGGGCATTGAAAATGGGTCGTGGATGTGTATTCCAGCATGACAATGACCCAAAACACACGGCCAAGGCAACAAAGGAGTGGCTCAAGAAGAAGCACATTAAGGTCCTGGAGTGGCCTAGCCAGTCTCCAGACCTTAATCCCAGAGAAAATCTGTGGAGGGAGCTGAAGGTTTGAGTTGCCAAACGTCAGCCTCGAAACCTTAATGACTTGGAGAAGATCTGCAAAGAGGAGTGGGACAAAATCCCTCCTGAGATGTGTGCAAACCTGGGGGCCAACTACAAGAAACATCTGACCTCTGTGATTGCCAACAAGGGTTTTGCCACCAAGTACTAAGTAATGTTTTGCAGAGTGGTCAAATACTTATTTCCCTCATTGTACATGTGTATTAAAGTAGTAAAACGCTAAGTATTTGGTCCCATTTTCATAGCACGCAATGACTACATCAAGCTTGTGACTCTACAAATTTGTTGGATGCATTTGCTGTTTGTTTTGGTTGTGTTTCAGATTATTTTGTAAGCAACAGAAATTAATGGTAAATAATGTATTGTGTATTTCTTTGTCACTTTTATTGTAAATAAGAATAAAATATGTTTCAAACACTTTTACATTATTGTGGATGCTACTATGATTACGGATAATGTCACGACTTCCTCCAAAGCTGCCTCCTCTCCTGGTTCGGGCAGGCTTCGGCGTTCGTCGTCACCGGCCTTCTAGCCACTGGCGCTCCTCATCTCATCATTCCATTTGTTTTGTCTTGTTTATTACACACCCAGTTCATATCCCCTCATCAGTACTTGTATAAGTGTTCCCTCTGCCCCCTTGTCTTTGTGTGTGATTGTTTATTGTGAGGATAGTGAAGGTTGAGCTCCTTGGAATTTGTATTGCCGGGTTATTTTCCCAGTGTGCCTTGTTGGTTCCAGTGCGCAAAATAGGCATTGCTGCGTAACTCTGTTTTCCGGAATCAATCCTGTTATTCTATGATTTACCCTCCTGCGCCTGACTCCTTCAAATCACCCATCATAGATAATCCTGAATGAATCGTGAAAAATGAGTGAGAAAGTTACAGACGCACAAATATCATACCCCCAAGACATGCTAACCTCTCACCATTACAATAACAGGAGAGGTTAGCATTTTGGGGGGGGGGGGGGTAGGATATTTGTGCAGCTGTAACTTTCTCACTCATCATTACTCACGATTCATTCAGGATTATACCTATTCATGGTAGCATCCACATTAATCTAGGAGTGTTTAGAAACGTATTCTATTCTTATTTACAATAAAAGTGACTCCAAAATGACACAATACATTATTTACAATTAATTTCTATATACCCTAAAATTAAAGCTGACAGCACGTTAACCTCATAGTCATTGTATCATTTCAAATCCAACGTACTGGAGTACAGAGCCAAAACAAAGAGAGAAAAAAAGTCACTGCCCCAATACTTGTGGAGCTCACTGTGAAATAGGCTGAGTAGCCTATTCAGGCAATCTGCAACAAAATAGCCTATACTGCACAATATCTAAAATGCCACTGCCAACACACAAACGAGACAAATGTTTGACCTACTGACCTTGGCAAAGAAAGCATGCAAACAGAGACAAAAGAAAAAAGAAAACTCAGCAAAGCACAATATTTCACATTTCTCTAACTCTTACTATTACCTCATGGGTATTTTCACCCTCAGGTAACGGTCAAAAGCGATGGCCAGCAGCCCGAGGATGGAACTCTGCGTGAGCACCAGCATGGTGCACGTGACCAGCAGGCAGCTGTAGAAGTGCATCTTGAACCCGATGTTGATGGTGATGGCCAGCGGGATGACCAGAGCCCCCACCGCAATGTCTGCCAGAGCCAGAGACACTATGAAACAGAAGGTGGTGTCTCGCAGCGAACGGTTGATCCGCACCGCCCAGACAACCATCACGTTTCCGATCACTGAAGTCACTGCGATGATCACCTCCATCCCGATGTAGATGGCTTGGGCGTACCACATCCTGCCGTTAGCTTGGTTGGTCCGGATCTCTGGTGCTGCTAGTATCTCAGAAAGACAGAGTGGAGAAGTCCTAGTATTCCTTTATGGAATTCGGAGAGCCCCTTGAACTCTTCTTTAGGCCTACGCATGGTGTTCTGTTGTTCGATCCATAGGAGGATATGTCTCTAGATATATCGAGCTAAGGTTGAATAGTCCTTTTGGAGCCTGTATTACTGGGCATAACGTGGACCTTGGTTTGGACACATCATGCATCCTATGGTTTCAGTGAAAGACGCCCCCCTGGTGTCCCACTCCCCAAAAATGAGGAGGTACAATTTTGCCAGAGAAAGTGTAATTGAGTCACACTGGCCACATAGTTTCCCAATTCATCATTAGTAAGAATAGAAAATTGAAAAATAAAATATATGAGGCTGGTGTCATAAACGGAGAAAGCTGTCAAGGAATAAATAAATAAAATACGTTTAGGCTACGCATTTCCGCAATATTTAATCAGATTGATTATTCCCCCATTCTCCTCTCATTCGTTCGTTATTTTCCGGTTCTTTTTACAAAGGTGTTCCACGTAGAATCCAGTCTTCTTTGCCAAAACGTTTGTTTGCTCACAAGGCTCCAAAAGGCTACAGCCGCAACTGTCTCGAACTCAGACGCGGGCTGCTGACTGACGGTGCGATCAGCACCAACACAATCTCTAGCTATTGCGACGAGGGAAATGTCTTTGCCCGGCTCTCTGTACATTCTGTGAAGAGAGAGAGAGAGAGAGAGAGAGAGAGAGAGAGAGAGAGAGAGAGAGAGAGAGAGAGAGAGAGAGAGAGAGAGAGAGAGAGAGAGAGAGAGAGAGAGAGAGAGAGAGAGAGAGAGAGAGTGGGCGGGCGGGCAGGCAGGCACATGGCGGATGAATGTGGACGTGCGCATTCCTCATGAAAAACAGAAGCGCTGGTTATTTGTTTATTACATTGATATCGTGTAGCCCTTTCCTGCACATGGCGGATGAATGCGACGTGCGCATTCTCATGAAAAACAGAAAAGGCGCTGTTATTTGTTTATTACATTGATATCGTGTAGCCCTTTCCTGCAGTCAATGACCAGGTGTCTTTATTTTTAAACCCATAACCATGTGTGTGAGGTGTATACTTATGTTACAAAGTAGATTTGTTTAAGACTACCAATAATCACTCTGTGTGACCCTGATTTAGCCCACTGCAGTAAAAAGTTAATGTGAGCAGGTGAGAGATGGAGAAATGTTGAAGGCAATCAAGGCCTAGCCTATGCTTTTATATACTGGATGCCATTGTCAAGGTCATTGAAGTGTAAACGGCCATTTGGTGTTATTGTGAAATCCACCTTTTTTATGCTAGAAGGTTAGAATGACACAAAACGTAAAGAATAAACAATAACGTCATTGTCCTGTAAATGTAGCCTATGACTTAAGCACACCCATGTATGTAAATCAAATATCTGCTTCTAATGTAAATGTGTTGGTGGTTTCAGTCTTGGTTTCATCCACCCCATGGTTGTGGACAAAGCCATTTTCTAGGTTGATTGAGGGATCCAGGAAAGAGGGGAGGAGGCTTCCATACCAACAAATTATTTTTTCCCTTCCTGACAGAGGATCAAAGAGATAGATAAGACCGGGTGCAAACAGATGACACACAGACACAGCACCCTACAACAAAACCAAGCAAATGATTGAAACTGCAGCTTCACATTGTGTGTGTGTGTGCGCACGTGTGTGTGTGCATGTGCGTATTTGTGTGTGTGTGTGTGTGAAAGGTTAGAATAAATTACTTTTATAAGTGCATGCTCTCAAACAGTTGTCTTTACACCTCTAGCATCACTCACCCATGAACATAAAGCTCTCACGGATGGTCGAGTCAGGCTGACAACAAACATTTGAGAGCATGTTTTCATCTCCAGTGTCATCTCCAGGTCACTTGAGAGAGCTTGTGTGTGTCTGTCAGTGTGTGGGTCCTTAATTGCTCACAGAGGGCCAGTAGGCCTATGGTTTACATGCACAGCGTTCTGCGAGTATCAAAGGAAGCAGAAGAGACTGGAGGAACCTGTCACGATCGTCATAATGAGCGGACCAAGGCGCAGCGTGATATGAGTACATACTCTTTAATAGTGTACTAGCAACACGATACAAAATACAAAACAACAAAACGAAACGTGAAGTCCTCGGTCATGAACACAAACCAACACGGAACAAGATCCCACCAAACACAAGTGCACAACAGGCTGCCTAAGTATGGTTCCCAATCAGAGACAACAAGCAACAGCTGATTCTCGTTGCCTCTGATTGAGAACCACCCCAGCCAACATAGAAACACATAACCTAGAACAGAACATAGAAAACGAAACATAGACACTACACAAAGAAACTAACACCCTGGCTCAACATACAAGAGTCCCCAGAGCCAGGGCGTGACAGAACCAGCAGAGCAGGCACATAGATACTAGACTAGAGCATTCCCTGGGGTCTTATGGAATTTTTGGATAGAGAGGAAACTGAAGTTATCCTTTTTAGATAAAACTACACTAAATATATTAACGTCAACAAATAATTTATTAAAACACACTATTTTGTAATGAAGGTCTACAGTAGCCTCAACAGCACTCTGTAGGGTAGCATCATTGTGTAGCCGGAGGACAGCTAGTTTCTGTCCTCTTCTGGGTACATTGACTTCAATACAGAACCTAGGAGGCTCGTGGTTCTCATCCCCTTCCATGAGAGGAGGAGAGTGCGTAGATCAAATCAAATCAAATTAAATGTTATTTGCCACATGCGCCGAATACAACAGGTGTAGACATTACAGTGAAATGCTTACTTACAAGCCCTTAACCAACAACGCAGTTTTTAAGAAAAAAAGAATAAGAAAAAAGTGTTAAGTAAAAAATAGATAAGTAAAAAATAAATAATAATAATAATTAAAGAGCAGCAGTAAAATAACATAACAGTTGGGAGGCTATATACAGGTGGTACCGGTACAGAGTCAAAGTGCGAGGGCACCGGTTAGTCGAGGTAATTGAGGTAAAATGTACATGTGGGTAGAGTTAAAGTGACTATGCATAAATAATAAACAGAAAAAGGATGCAAGAAGGAATTATACAACAATCAAAGGGATCATGCTGTTTGTATGTGGCTGCTATGAAAGTGAACTGTGTTTGCGTGTGATCAGGGGTGTATTCATTCGGCCTATTCTGTTAAACAGAAGCAAACAGAATGAAATATGGATAAACATACCTGAATCTGTCCAATAGAAACTCTTGTTTGGAACAGTTGGACTAATGATCACACCCTAGATCAGCTAGATGCAGGCAAGAGTGTGCAAGGTGGTATTGAATGTGTAAATGTCTGTCACCTTGATTACTCAAATTTCTCTCGACCTGTGCACGTAGTAAACTTTATTTCATAGGCTAGGTTGTAGCAACCTCATGATGGGTAAAAGGAAAATTTGAGTATCATGTAGTAGCCTAAACCTACTGATGTTACATTGAGCTGGGTGAATGGAATATGAATGACAGTCATCCAATATGCTGTAATAGAAATAAGACCATGCTCAGAAATGTTTTTGCGTCCTCCCTCATCTTAAATGGCGCCGACCGCCACTGTTGTGTGTGTGTGGCCGGCACCTTTTACAGAACTTACCAGCTACTTTTCCTCTCCCACAGCCTCCCAAGGCCGTATACAATCTTACAGAACATCTTGATATTTACTGAGCTTGTCCTTGACTCCACCTTATTCACACTGTTTGTCTGCACACTTTATGCTCTTACTCACACAGGAAAACACATTGCAAAAACAACACAATGCTATAGAGCAGCCACAGAATTGTTTACAGGCAGAACAGTCATAGTGATAAGTAGTGTGTATGTATTGTGTTCAGAGGCCTGGCTAAATGTAAATATAAAATGCTGTTGCCATCATATAACATGGTATTACTCAGGCTATGACAAGAGGTGTAGTGGATGGTTGCCCAACAGTTTACCCACCTATTTGCATTGAAAGTATAGGGAGTGTTTCTGTTTTCACTGCGACCGGCAATCGGAGTTTACCCACCTATTTTCTTATCACTACATCACTGGCTATGACTCATCTGGCCAGACCAGGAATGGCAGAAGTACAGCGCTTCCTAACCACAATTTCCCTATTTACAAATTAAGAAAAAACAGATGATGTTATCCTCCTGAGGCAGATGAACTGGCCAATCAGCAGTCTACTCACATTCATATTTTTAATGACCAGTATACGCCCACACCATTCTGTTGTTGGGGTACGCCCATGCCATTCCAACACAGAAAAGCAGCTTTTTAACATACTTAAAAAAAATATATATGGAAAGAAAACAAATTCACTCATATTGTTGTTAATTAGAGGAAACACTGGAAAGTTACTTTAAGAGATAGCCTATATCATATTAAGGAGAGAGCATGTATGGACATAATTTGCTATTCAGACAAAGTTTAGTATGCCCATAAATGTGTGTTTTCACGTGTTTTCCGGATGTGTTTAATTTTCAAACCCATCGTATATATGCTTTAAACCATTATAGATCTGCAAACTGAAATGTTGGTGTTGTTGTCTTAATTGGAAGGCTGATTATGAGATGGTTGAGAGGGATCGGATTCTTCTGGAGGTTGTTGAGGCCTGATGATAGTTCAGGCCAGAGTAGCCTCTGCGCTGCCGAGTCCCCAACAAGTGGATGTTTCAGTTTTCAAGGGAAATAGAAAGAGAACTTCTGCTTTTGGACGTTAACAAGACGACACTCCATCTTAACTCCTCCTCCACATTTACTGGATTGGATGAACAGTACAGAAGAGAACATCCCCTGATGTTCTCGTCAAGACCAGTATGTAGGGGTTCTAGTTTCAGGCATTTATTTTACGCCTCCTACGTTAGGTTCGGCCAGAGAGAGAGAACGTTAAGTGAGAGAGACCCCATCGCCCCTCTCTGGCTGGTGGTGAATAGAAAGGATTGTTTGAACCCACTGTGAATTGGCGGT